GTACCGCGGCGCAGGATCTCTTCCTGCAAACCATGGCACAGTGGTCGATAGGTGTTGCCGTAGTCGCGGAGCCCTATTTTGTCCCTCCCCGTCCAAACTGGATGGGTGACTGGGACGGCTCCGTTGCCGTCGTCGGTTCCACGGCGGCTCATTCCCCGCCCTTGTCGCTAAGAGACAAGGGCACTGGATATGTTGCCGCCGAGTGGGGGGGGATCACCATATATGGTGTTTATTTCTCCCCCAACCGGAGTTTGAGCGACTTTGAGGTTTTCCTCAACAACCTGGAGACCTAAATGCGGCGACTAGCGTCTGGGCACGTCCTTGTTCTGGGGGACTTCAACGCAAAATCCACTGCGTGGGGTTCCCCCGGGACGGACGCAAGGGGCGAGGCCGTAGAGGAGTGGGCGGCCTCGGTGGGCCTCTGTCTTCTCAACAGAGGCTCCACCAACACGTGCGTGCGACAGCAGGGGGGGTCGATAGTGGACCTTTCGTTCGCTACCCCTGCCCTCGCCGCACGAGTAAGGTACTGGCGTGTCCTGGAAGAGGTTGAGACGCTCTCGGATCATCTTTATATCCGATTTGAGCTCTCCCGGACCCAGGACTCCAGTAGGGGTCACGTGGCGCGGCGTCTATCCCGCTTTCCGCGGTGGGCTGTTGCCAGACTGAACCGGGACCTACTAGAGGAGGCAGCCATAATTCACTCGTGGCTGTCTCCTCGGGCCCCGACCGAGGAGGTCGACGTGGGGGCTGGTCGCTATCGCGATGCGATTACGCATGTCTGCGATGCGGCCATGCCCCGCATTCGAGGTCGTCGGCCTAAAAGGAAGGAGGTCTACTGGTGGTCCCAGGAGCTGGCGGACCTCCGTGCGGCCTGTACACGTGCCCGGAGGTCCTACACGCGCAGTCGGCGGCGTCACCGTGGAGACGGTGAGGAGGACCGGCTTCATGAGGAGTACCGAGAGGCGCGGAAAACTCTGAAGCTGGCCATTAGCCGCGCCAAAGAGATAAAGAGAAAGGAGATGCTGGAGGGTCTCGATCGTGACCCCTGGGGTCGCCCTTATCGCGCGGTGCGACAAAAGCTCCGCGCGTCGGGCCCCCCCCTTACGGAGACTCTCCAGCCCAGCTTCCTGCGAGAAATGGTTGAGGGCCTTTTCCCGCAACGAGCGGAACACACTCCCCCGGCGATGGCCTCCTTGGCCGGAGACGGCGGGGAGCACGAGGAGGATGATGTTCCGCCCGTCCGGGATTCGGAGGTAGGGGCGGCTGTTCTACGGATCCGTTCCAAGAACACCGCCCCTGGGCCAGACGGGGTACCGGCCCGAGTGCTGGCCCTAGCCCTCAACCACATGGCAGACTGCCTCGGGAAGGTGTTCGACGCCAGCTTGGCGTCGGGACGTTTCCCTGAGTGCTGGAAGAGCGGGAAGCTGGTCCTATTAAGGAAGCCGGGACGGCCTGCCGATTCGGTCGCGGCCTACAGGCCCATCGTGCTGCTGGACGAGGCGGGTAAATTGTTTGAGAGGGTTCTCTCTGCCCGCATCGTCCGGCACCTCTACGAGGTGGGCCCCGATCTGTCGGACGCCCAATTTGGTTTTCGGGCGGGGCGTTCGACAGTCGACGCTATTTTGCGCCTGAGGGCCGTGACCGAAGAGGCTGTGAGCTGTGGCGGCGTGCTGTTGGCGGTGTCATTGGACATCGCCAACGCATTCAATAGTCTGCCATTCAGCTGCATCAGGGAAGTACTCCACTATCATGGGGTGCCAAAGTACCTGAGGCGGCTAGTGGCAGACTATTTAGAGGAGCGAGATGGTAATTTGAGGTGTCGGCCCATGTCGTGCGGTGTTCCACAGGTGTCTGTTCTTGGACCCCTCTTGTGGAACATAGGGTACGACTGGGCCCTTCGCGCCAATTTCCCCCCCGGGCTGGGTGTAATCTGTTACGCAGACGATACCCTGGTGACAGCCCGGGGGGCAAACTTCCAAGGGGCGGCGCGCCTGGCCACAAGGGGAGTCTCCCTGGTGGTCGGGCGCATTGAGGCGCTGGGCTTACGGGTGGCCCTAGATAAGACGGAGGCCCTGTTATTTCATGGGCCCCGTCGTGGTCCACCCCCTGGCGCCTCAATCGTGGTCAACTCGGTCCTCGTACCGGTTCGGGCCCAGATGAAATATCTGGGCCTGATCCTCGACGGGAGGTGGCTCTTCGACGAGCACTTCCGACAGCTTGCTCCAAAGCTGGTCGGCGCTGCGTCTGCCCTAGGGCGACTTTTGCCCAATTTGGGTGGACCCAGCGTCGCGACAAGACGGCTGTACACGGGGGTTGTCTGGTCAATGGCACTGTACGGTGCACCGGTGTGGGCGGCGGCTCTGACCGCCCAGAATAGGGCACGCCTCTGGCGCCCTCAGAGGGTAATGGCGGTCAGAGCCATACGCGGTTACCGCACCGTTTCGACGGAGGTGGCATGTGCGTTGGCCGGAACGCCCCCGTGGGATTTGGAGACGGAAGTGCTCGCCGAAGTTTATCGGCGAGTGGCTGACTCCCGGGCGGAGAGCGGATTTCGCCCTCCGCCCGAGGATGTGCGCGAGTGGCGCGAAGCCGCTCGCCGAGCCACGATGGCTCGTTGGTCGTTCCGGCTGGAGACTCCACGCGCTGGCTTCGCCGCCGTGGAGGCTCTCCAGCCGGTCATCGCCGAGTGGGCAGGGCGGCAGCACGGGACCCTTTCCTTCCGGCTGACGCAGGTGCTTTCCGGGCACGGTTGCTTCGGAAAGTACCTGCACTCGGTCGCTGGAGGGAACTGAGTCCCGCCTGCCACCACTGCGACTGCAGTGAGGACTCGGCCCAGCACACGCTGGCGGTCTGCCCCGCATGGGCGGCGCAGCGCCGGGCCCTCACTGCAGTCATCGGAGTGGATCTCTCGCTACCGGCCGTAGTACGCTCCATGGCCGGTAGCGACAGTTGTTTTACCGCGGTCGCAACCTTCTGCGAGGAAGTAATCTCGCAGAAGGAGGCGGCGGAGAAGGCCCGGGAGGACGACCTCCACTCGGACCCGATCCGCCGCCGGCGAACCGGCGGCGGAGGCGCGCCTATCACCGCCTCATGCCGCCCTGAGTGTGGCCGCGGGTGGACGGGGTGGGTTTCCCCTCCACCCGCATTAGTTTGGCCAGCCGCGAGGGGGCGGCGTCCGCGTGTGCCGGACGTCGCCTAAAGAGAGGAAATTTTTGAGACGGAGCCCGCACTAGGAGCGGGCTGGCGCTAGGAGGGGTCCGGATGTCTTAATAACAGCTGTTCCCGGATCCCTCCTGTTACAGGCGCAGAGCTGCACACCGTGTGGTTTTAGTCGGTCCGAGTCCGACACACCACCCCGCCGCAAACCCCGGTGGGGTGACGGTCCGAGGGGATTCCACACGTTAAAAAAAAAAAAAAAAAAGGGTTTTTGTCAAGTTTTCCGTCTTTTTGCAGTGCGTCATGCGTTGTTTTGCGCCCTTAGTCGGTTCTTACGACACCCACGGGATGAATCGCAAGTATACATAAACATTATTAACTTAATACGTAATGTTCGTGAAGGATGTATAAGTCCGTGTCCATCGACTTTTTTGTTGAACTTAGAATGTGATTATTGTTAATTGCTTGGTAAAAAATCAAAAAAATAGTTTGAGTTTTATTTATTTTATCAAGTAATCGATACTTATCTTTTACAACACTACAAAAAATTATACCTATTCTGCTGGCGTTGGGAGTAACACAACAGATATCACATCGCGGCGGTGAAAGGGTTAAAATAGTTGATTTAGTACCTCTGAGTTATGTACTATTGCTATGGTAACTCACTACAAAAATGTGTGCCACATACACCTTTATATGGCACACATTTATAATTATAATTTATTAATTATATAATATAATTTATTATTTTTTTATTAAGAAACAAAAAATTATTGAATGGAATTTAATAGTTTTTCATTGTTACCTAATCACCTATATACAGAATTTCTTCTATGTATTGAAAATTATTAAGGTAAAAGATCCGTAACAGATACGCCCAAAAAGTAACGGAAACGGATCTTTCTTCTCCCTCGAATATTCGCGGTTACGTATACATATTGATATCCGGCACATCACTTAAAAATTTAACCATAGGTAAAAAAAACAACAGAATGTCAATTCGTGTTCAACTTCATTTAATATGTTACAATCTTATAAAAAAGAACTTAATTGTAGTTAAAATTAACATTATTTTTAATAATAAAAAACCAAACATCTGACATATATTTTTAGATAAACCTTGCAGAAACAAATAAGCAATTTTTAAACGTGTTTGAATTATAACGGCCTTTTCTGTGATTCTTGAATAAAACACCGAAAATAGTATAACGTAATAATTTTAAAATTTTAAAGCACCACACAAACTTGAACATCTGTACTATAAAATACAATCAAACTTACTCTTTATACGAAATTCTAACTTACATAATATATTACGCTACCTGCACAAATACTTCTAGTAAATTCCATTATTTATGTAAACAAGAGCATTACAAATTTTAAGATTGGGATTCACTAATATTGCATAAAGGAATGATTGAATGATTGGTATTTATAGCCTTAATAAGCGCACGTAAAATATAACAATTGAAAAATAAAATTATAAACACTGATTTACGTCGATGACTATTAAGGACTAAAAATTATGTCGGAGTTGCAACCAAAGTATTTGAAGAAATATTTATAAGCGAGTTTAAGAATGTCGCTGTGAAATTTATTTGGCCATAATTACACAATTACTACTTATTCTTAATTAGAATCCTTAAAGAATTCATAATTGCGCAGGCGGAATAATCAACAAGATATTCATCATACAAAATATAATGGCCGGTTTACTAATACATTACACACATCATATATACATACATTACATAGTGCACCTCAGTCATAAATCAAAAACAACAAGTTACAGTTGTACACCATCACGTAAATCTCGTCAAACGGGACAGAAATTAGCGTCGTTGTCACCGATTGGCGCGGCATCGCCTGGCGTATTCTGGTGCCACTTGGTGCAGCCACTGCGGCTGGATGGCGGACACCGTCAGCATGTAACAGCGATTGGTCTGCAGTAGCTCTGTGTACAGCAGGGCGGGGGGCAGCGGCCGCACGGTGTGCAGCGATCCGGAAGGGTGCAGGCCGGCGGCCGTGCCTCCTGCCGTCACGTACCGTCCGCCCGCCCCTACTCCTCTTAGCCACGCACAGTTCGTGAATAACCCGCAGAGAAGACACTTCAATAGCTGGAAAGAAAATAAACATTAGACAAAGTAATAAATAATCTAGACAATAAACTTAACGAATATGACCCTTTCTGATAAAAAAAATAAAGCACTGGTACTAATTCTGTTGTACCAAAAATCTTTAAACTAAAAATAACAAAAATTTAGTCCTGTCATGACGTTTCGTTTTCTGTAATTGTAGGACCTAACTATATTTAGTTTGACACAACCAAAATTTGTTAAGTTAACTTACGCCATTATTGCTCATTTGTTACTCTGTTATATTCTAATCGTCAAAGATTGACTAAAATTAGAAACGTCAAACTAAAATTATTTATCATCTTAATACATGCTGACTAATTTGTTCACTACACATTCATTCATTCTTTGTTTTTTTTTTAAGGTGAATAGCGATTACATGATTTTGACTCAAGTCAGTTCAGCAGAAAGATATGTGCATATTATTTTTCATCATAAATCACAATAATATTGTCACGTGTCTTATCTGGATTATTACAACATACCTATGAAGTACGATTTTAAGTACGATACGATTTAAGTTTTTAAGTAACTATCAAAAAGCGACTATGCTTTAAGAATATTGATTCAAGATAAGTGTGATCCATTTCAGATGGCAGGGAAGTTTCAGAAACTTTTAAGTTTCCCTAGGTCTAAAGCTTTTAACTTTTGCAGGTTTTATCTGCATTCCATTTTTTTGCTCAAGGAAATTACCAAGCTGGCAAGGCTGTAAGGCAAGACCATTTTACAAAAAAAAAACATACAAAAAATATCAGGGCGAGTGAAGCGAGTCCTTACATTATCCCTCAATCTATGCATTTTTGTGGTACTCTTTACTGAGAAACTATAACACTTTCAGATTTGGGCTTTGACATAATAATTTCAATTGATGTCTAAGATCTATCATAAAAATATTATATTATAATAATAATAAGAGCTATAACTAATTAAAATTCTATTGTATTACTAACACTATCTGTCGAAAATTATAAAATTTATCAACCGTAGGTACTGTTATTGATTATGCGATCTGTTAGAAAACTAAAAAAATAATATCGATGTAACCAGTGTTTAGTTATATTTTACATATAAACCGGTTTTTTTTTTTTGTTTAAGTTTAAATTAAGAATGATTTATTTTGAATTGAATTGATGTTATTGTTTATTAATTAATTTGTTATAAATGACTTGTTTTATCATGACAAAACTTCGCAGATTCAGTGATAGTCAGTAAAAATAGATATATAACGAAAAAGGTTTACCACTGTAAAACTGTATTTACTTAGCTGAGAAATATAACGTTTTGTTTACTATTGATTTGATTTAATCTATAATATGCATTATTAATAATTTAAAGGCATTCTACCCTTTTTTTATTTATTTTTTCTGTGTGGAAATCCCCTCGGATACCACTTACCGGTGGCAATGTCGGACTCGAACCGACTAAAACCGCACGCCGTCTCAGGTACCAGTAGTTGGGGAACCAGGTGTACCCTAGAAAGGAAATCCCTGGTGCCCCGACGTACCTCGGGCCATCGGGCGCGTAGACGACCCTCCTGTGTAGGAACCCCCATGTTCCCTCTGTGCTGCCGGAAGGGCGCGCGCGCTTCGTAACGCGCTCGCCGCCACCCCGGCCTGTTTCTGCACGGGTGACAGATGGCCTCACCTGTCGCCCAGGCTTGCGCTTATGGAGGACGGAGGTCGTTCTGCGACCTCCGGCGCCTGAGTCGTCTGCGGTACATGGCCCATTCCCTAGCCTGGCGGGCTGGGAGAGTTCTAAACCTCTCCCGGTCCCGCTCCGCCATTTCCTTCACAAGCATAACTTGCTCGCAGAAGGAGACGGCAGAGTTCCACGCACTCTCGCTCCGCACGATAGCCGCAATAAGGTTATCGAGCGAGAGAACTCCCACTCCGATGTCCGCCACGAGGTCTCGCTTCTGCTCCACCCACGCCGGGCATTCTGCCAGCGTGTGGAGCGTGTCCACGGTCCGACCATCGCAGTGGTGGCACTCAGGCGTTGGCTCCTTGCGGATCAGGCACTGGGCACAGGCCCTTACGTGCCCGTTGTTCGAACGGCTGGTCGGACACCTGCACAAGAACCGGGTGGGGGCGACAGGCATCGACGACGACGGCCAGCTGAGTGGGCCATTGCTCGTACTCAGTTATGTCTCGGTTCGGCGTGAAATAAGCGACCACGACCGCTATATGCCCACCACCGCCGCTACGTAGCCCCGGCCCTTTGCAACCACGGCAAGAGGTGGGGTGCCGGCTGCGGTACCGTGTACCAGTGAAGGCATTCTACCCTAAAAAGAAACTCTATCAGTCGTTCTTAATTTTTTAGTAACAGTAACACTTTCCTATTTAAATTTCAGTGATGTTACATTTGTCGTTAAAAATTTAATGCTGTCATATTGAACATTAAATTTTAATTTAGCTGGACTTGACAACAGAATAGCATTATGGAAATCGCTTAATTAAAATAAGAAAATATTAGAGAAATTTTAGTTTAGTGATGTGAACAACAAAATTAGCACCACTGTCAGCTATATTTCAGCACCCACCTGAGAATATATGAACAATAACTACAGAGACCCTAGACTTTGTACAATATTAGATTAGCCATAACCAATATTTTAACCTCAGCCTCTCATACCTCTCTAGATGCAAAGCTGACTGAGGGGATTTCCACACAGGAGCAAAAAAAAGGTGCAAAACTGACTCATATTTCTAAGTATATATCTACACACACTAAACCAAGTGATAGGCAACTAACAAAAACTACATATTTACCTGTTCATATGCTTGTCCACAACTGCTTACATTCATATTCAATTTCTGGCATATGGCAAGCAATTGCTGACGCACTTCGCACGCGTAAGTCAAATTCTTATGATTTAAATAGTTCTCTCTACACCATTGCTGCAATAAAAACGGTATAGTATTACAGATTATAATTAGAACTCAATGAATAGGTGCTAAGCTAAAACTCACCTTCTTCAAAGGTGCCTTACAAAATGCTTTGAATACATTGAGAAGAGTTATGTGATCGCCTAACGGAGACAGAAACTTCTGTTTAGCTGTTAAAGCTTCAGCCCTCTTGTACACAGGTGTGTGAAATAGATTTTGACTTGAGAGAACGGCTACCAAACTTAACGCCTGTAAGATAAAACAAAACATTTATACTTGGCTGACACACGCTGTAAAAAAATAACTGGTCACTATTACATAAGATAGTAAATTAATGTTTTATTTTAGCAAAATAATTTACACTTTCCAGATAAAAGATTCGCTTAAGGATCAAGTGTATTTACGAGCCCTGATGCAAAATAGTTCGTCTAGTATGAAATTTTCACTGTGAGATTTTTTCTAACTTCATTATTTTTGTCTATCTACATAAAATATTAATCTGTTCTACTATCATATGTCGCGTTACTTATGCCATTTTTTAATTATGAACCAATAAACTATTTTAGCTTTTTAAATTTATACATATCCTGTTTTAAATTCGAAGAAGTTATAAGCAAAATAGTTCGTCTAATTGTTAATTGATGCAAAAGAGTTCGTCTATCGGTGAGTTCAATAAGATTATTCCTTCTTTGTACAATTATGTTGCATAATTTAAATTTGTAAAAGTAATTCTGTGTCATTTGTCAAGTGAGACAGTATAAATTCTGAAAATTTCAGTCTTTTTCATTAGTTTTCAAATAACAATGGGTCGTGGCAAACAAGTGTGTGAAGAGCTTCGAAAGCGAATAGTTTGTGGGGTCGATGCTGGCAAATCAAGTTACAAAATATCTAAAGACTTGATACTTCCCAGGTCTACAGTCCAATCTATCATTCAGCACTATAAAAAGAATATAATGACTTCTTGTTTGAAGAAAACTGGTCGACCACGCATCACAAGTGCAGTAGAAAACAGAATCCTAAAGAAAATTATCAAAAATAATCGTCGTGCTCGATCTGGAGAACTCACGGTGCAATGGAAGGACATAATTCACAAAGACGTCTCAGTTGATACTTGCAAGAGTCCTAAAAAGAATGGGTTACGGATTTTACACCGCTAAGGAGAAACCACTGTTGACTGCTGTACAAAAGAAAAAGAGGTTGAAGTTTGCTCGTGATCATTTAAATTGGACTTCCGATCAGTGGCTTAGTATCATTTGGAGTGACGAGTCCCAATTTGAAGTGACAGTCGGCGATGAAAGGAAAAAAGTGATTCGGAACAAAAATAAGGCATTTTATGAAAACCTTTTGGAAGAGAATTTACTGCCCTCTATTTCGTCACTTTAGCATCAAGATTCCTTCATTTTTAAACAGGATGGTGCTTCCTGCCATACTGCAAGGACAACGAAGACTTGGCTACTTACGAAAAGCATCCCTACAATCGAATGGCCATCTAACAGCCCGGACTTGTCGCCGATCGAAACTCTATGGTGGAAAATGAAAAAAGTTCTCCGTAAAAATCCATCAAGATCGAAGAGCGACTTAAAGTCTAAACTCTTGGCTGTCTGGGAGTCAATTACGCTTGAGGAGTGTGCAGCGTTGGTTGCAACCATGCCTCTTCGAATTAAAGCTGTCATTGAGAGCAAAGGCGACACAACTAAGTGGTAGACGAACTATTTTGCGTTAGTGACAAGGGTAGACGACTACTTTTGCGTTATGTTTTTTAGATTTTTTTTTTTTTTTTTATGAGATGTAAAGTCACGAAAGAATTTCAGTTCTGTTAAAATAAACTTTAATATGTTCCTCAAATTGTGGTTTACTTTTTATTAAACGTTCTTAATTATTTTACCAATATTTACTTTCTATATTTTACGCTTTGCACTACTTGCCATACTAGACGAACTATTTTGCATCGGGACTCGTAATCTTTGACGCGTATGAATCCACCGATACACACTTTTTACTACAACGTATGAAAAATATATTTAAACACATGTTTTTTCATTGGACGGGCCTGTTGGTCTAGTGGTTAGCGACTCTGACTGCTAAGACGGAGGTCGTGGGTTCGATTCCCACCCAGGACAAATAATTGTGTGATGAGCACGATTATTTGTTCTGTGTCTGGGTGTAATTTATCTATATTATGTATGTATTTAGAAATATATAAGTATGTTTATCAGCAGTCTGATTACCATAGTACAGGCTCTGCCTAGTTTGGGATCAGACGGCCGTGTGTGAGATGTGTGAAATTATTATTATTATTATTACTATTGGTAATTTGGCAGTAACAATAATGTGCAATCGGGCCCATCTCTAATCTGTTGGATGCCCTGGGCAAATTAGCATAATGGGGCCCCTACAAACTTAGCTGAGCACTATTTTGGTAGAATAGACAAAAAAGTATTGTAGTCAGTCATTACAAATGGATGTTTCGAAATAATTATGTTTTTGGTAATAAATATTAATTTTCGATTGGTGATCTGGCAGGAATCGGGTCCCTATCGATCGAGGGGCCCTGGGAAGGTGCCCAGAGTGCCTAATGGGAAAGAGGGGCCTGGGTGTAATTGTGTAACCTACTAAATTATTCGCAAAGCACATGTCGAAAATTTTTCGTGTAACCCGGAGCGTAATAATATTCTTATTATTTGTAAGAAAATAGGTACAGTACAGAACGATACATTGAGGAGGGTTAAATACTGTTACATTCTTATTCCAGTCAACAGAACTGACATTTATGTTCAAATTTTACAATGTCGTTTATAAACATAAAATATATTATAGCCTCATTGCAATAATCGCCTAAAGCCGGGCCTTTACGCGCTCCTTTCTATTTAGTTTTACACATAGACAGATAGAACTATTATGTAGGTGGTGGTAACTGACTTTAAACTACTTCAAATCGAACATTATGATTATTATTGTAAACAATCGTGTTGTCTTCCTGTTAAAATTCAGGTTGAGTTGGTATCAATTAAAATCACTAGGAAATAATCGTTGTCTATTGAGAAATAATATGTATTAACATTTACAGTTTAAATCACCCAAATGTTAGCTTGTGCTATTTCACTGTCAGAAAGTGAGTTTTTCTGTGTATATATTGTTTGGAAATAGTACGCGAAATGTTGAGAGATAGGTCTTCCTGTAGGGCACTTTTATAAAAACATATTCATTTCAGATCCATACAAGAAGCCTTTTTATTTATTATGCAGAATGCAATTTACAGTAGAACTCCAATTATCCGAATTAATGGGGACCGGGACCCATTCGGATAATCAAATATTCGGATAATCAAATATTCGGATAATCGGATTTTTTTTAAAAAAATTGCCATTGGAGAGAATAAAAGCTACGTTTTGATATTGCACTATTTTTTTATTGAATTAAATGAAAGAAACATGAAATTTTCACATGTTTTAAATATAAATAAAATGTACTTATGTACAAGTTTAGAAATAAAAATCATTGTTTTTTAAACATCTCCGTCAATGTAAGCTGTTTTGCGGTCTTCAACCGTTTTCGGGCAGCCAGGTCACGCATTCGCTTGACGGTGAGCAGTTGCAAGTGGTCACACTCGGGCTGACGCTCCATCCTTCCAAATCGCTTCCATCCTGGCAAATGCTTCACTAGCTGATGGTCCAGCGTCTACTTCAACATCAGCAGAAAGTTCTTCTTCCACTTCCACTTCAACATCTTCTCTCACACTTACAACAATTTCATCGTCATTGAGAATTTGAAAACCAGGGTCAGACGTGTCACAAGCCATCCACTCTCCTACATCTTCAGCACTTACTTCTGTACAACCAGGAATTTTTACAATCATTTTTCTTATTTCCTCTACATCAACACAACAACAACATCGCAACAACGCATCTTTATCATCATCATCCTCTCCATATTCTTGTTTCTCATTTTCTTCAGATTCTTTTTTTTTGTTCTTCTCAGACGGTAGGCCTTTCAGTTTATTCCACGCACGTCTTAGCGTCACTGCCGTAACCAAACTCCAAGCTTCCGCTACCATGTAACAGCAGTCCTTTAAATTTATTTTGCTATGATTTGCCAAAACCAATTCTTCATCTTCAGCACCTTCGATCAGCAGTTTTCTCAGCAGTTGCCTTCTGTAATGGCGCTTCATTGTTTCAATAACAGACTGGTCCATGGGTTGCAGCAAACTTGTAACATTGGGCGGCAAAAACGTCGTTTTAAACTGCCCATTCTCTCTTTCCAACAGTTCTGCTGTAGGATGAGTGGGTGCGTTATCAACAATTAAAAGCACCTTACTGCCTTCTTTTCCCACCGATTTTTGGTGCTTTTTCACTTCAGGAATAAACACTTCATCATACCATTCGGTAAACAAAGCTGCAGTCATCCAGGCCTTGGGTTGACTTTTGTAGAAGAGTGGAAGTTTTTTTACGTTTTTAAATGCTCTTGGATTTCTTGATTTTCCTATCAAAAGAAGTGGCAGTTTATGATTTCCAGTGGAGTTGGCACAGTTAAGCACTGTAACACGTTCTTTACTGACCTTATGTCCAGGGGCACTAGATTCCCTTTTAGAACCCAAAGTGGTTTTTGGTAATGCTTTCCAAACAAGGCCAGTTTCATCGGCATTATAAACAAACTCCGGATCATAGGATTCCGATGCAGTTTTAAATTTTTCAATAAAATTTTCAGCAGCTGCAGAGTCTGCTGAAAGCTTCTCACCAGCCAAATCTAACTCGCGTACACCATGCCTGAATTTAAAATTCCTTAGCCAGCCGTTACTAGCCTTAAAAGATGAATAACCAAGCTTTTCTGCTAAGATTTTGGCTTTTTCACAAAGGATTGGACCTGAAATCGGATTTCCCATAGAACGTTGCTGCAAAAACCATTTAAACACGGCATCTTCCAAATTTTTGTTGGTTGCTGCCTTCATTGTTTTCCTGGAGGAACTTCCATCTTCATTTTCAAGCACCGAAACAAAGTTTAAAAGTGTTGACTTACTGTTTTTAATGTCAGAAATTGTTGCTTGTCCAACACCATAAATCTCAGACAACTTCTTACCCGTTACACCTTTATCGAGTTGCTCTATAATTTTCAGTTTGTCCGCTAACGATAGCACAACACGTTTTCTTTTCGAAGCCATGGTATAAAAACAATACAGTATTGTACACGCACAAACAAAAGTAAGCCGTAGCGAAAGAGTAGCGTCCTCGAGCAAGGTCAATAGCACACTGGCTAATCAAAACAAACAATGACAGGTGCGCCGTGACTGCAATGCGCCGGAACTTGTCTTAACTTGCCGTTGTGCCTACACACGCGGGGGGAAGTCAGTGTAGGCACAACGGCAAGTTAAGACAAGTCAAGTCAAGACTTGACGCGCAAACACTGGCTTCGCGGGGGGGAAAGTAAAAACGCACTTAGACTTTTTTTTGGACAATTTTTTGTGATTCGGATAATCGGCGATTCGGATAGTCGGAGTTCGGATAATTGGAGTTCTACTGTATTTTTATTTATATAAGTTGGTCCGCAAAAGTGAGCCTTCATTTTAAAATGAATTTATTTACAATGGTATATACCATTGTACCTTAATCAGCCTAGTAGGCTCGGGCGAAAATTGACTGTGACAAGGCGGGCTAAGGATTGATCCTTTTAAGGTCCTAGTTTTTTATTGAGACGTACGGAGCGCTAAAAATTTGCGGTTCCGAAAACCAGTAATATATTTTTAGACAACAAAAACAGTATAAAATAGCGATATTTTTATAATAGAATATCATTAGGAACTCATATTCATATGATTTTAAGACTTAAATTTCGAAAAGGACATTATTTGGCTTCAAAGTCTAGTGAAGTATGATGGCATTATAACACAAGTGTTTCTAATTCTAAGATATCAATAAAATATTGTTGTAATTATAGCAACGTTATATTTAATAACTATTTACCTCGTCTAAACAGCTATATTCCGTCGCGCTCAAAAGGATTTTGGAATATTTTGGGTCAATCGGGAACATTGACATTTTTTTTCCAAGCACCGTCAATTTAGGGTTGGTGTCATTATCAATTGCACCTAAAATGTAAGTAATTTTCAATAAAAATGTATCTAAAGATAATTTGTAGAAATTTTTTTTTTTTTGGTAGTGCTATATCTTACCTAATTCCTTGAGCAATAGTAATGAAGCTTTCACAGTATCTGGTGGAGGCGCATCTATCAACGGGAAAGTAGTAGGTTCAGCCCCCGCCGCTATTAGTAGCAAAAGTGTAGATGCCAGGGGACATCTAGGATAAAATTTATGTAAAATAATAAATTATAAAAAATGTTGTTCGAAACGTTTTTAATTTTTACAATTATATTCTGAGTATAAAATAATTTTACCTGACAATTTCTGGCGTGTGATGGTAATGTCGGGCCTTGAAATCAGCTGCAGTATAGAGGCGATAAGCCAATCCAGGAGCTGTACGGCCCGCACGGCCGGCTCGTTGCCAACCCGCCGCTTGGGAACACGGCCGCACCATCAGACGCTCGGCGCCTGTACTACCACACCATGTCCTGTAATTCACATCGCAAGAATATAAAATATAAAAGTTAACTTAACCATTATTATATATTTATATTAACAAAATATGGATATAATATGGACACAACACAAAAATAGAGAACGGATTGGGACGAAATACCAAGAACACCACCTATTCTAGATGATATTCAATAGACTTTTCTTGCTCAGCTCACTGAGTAAGAAATTATATAATTCATGCAAAAATACTTAATGTGATGCATATTTTCATCACTAACAATCATACAATGTTACTTGATAATTAGACAATGTTTTCTTAATCAGGTCGGAAAGCTATTATAAACAAAAAAAAGGATACCTTTCTTTCACTACGCCTGTATCAATGACACATTTAATTCGGGGTATAGTAACAGATGCCTCAGCAATATTTGTGGCCAATATTATTTTTCTAGTTCCGGGCGGCACAACCCGCCAGACTTGTAATTGTTTTGCTGCAGGCAGACCAGCATATAGTGGACATACCCTAATGGGAGGACCTGTGGCTTCCTGAAATTTTCGATCTAGCATAAAAGCAAATACAATGGTACAAACATATTTATACTTTTAAATAGTATAATAATGTAATACACTCACTTTGGCTATCTGTTTAATATTATACATGACTGTCTCGATTTCTTCTTGTCCAGTCAGAAATACTAAGAAGTCATGGCTGAAAATAATTATCAAGAATGTATTATGGGCTTGAAACAAATGTACATAGTATTGAACTTTAATTATTAGTATTTACTTTGCCGGTGTTGTTGCATGAAGTTGAAATATGGTGCAAACAGCAGCATATTGATAGTCATCTTGCTTCATCTTTGAGTGATATATAGTGACTGGATAAGTTCGCCCCTCTAAGTAAATTACAGGGCAATTGTTGAAATATTTTCTAAAAGCATCCACATCCATTGTTGCAGACATAATTATTAGCTGCAAATTTTTATTAGCATTAAATAAAATTAAATTTTAGTGAAAAAAAAAAGTTTTATCATTTTTTACTAGATTGCTACCTTTAAAGGATTCATCTTCTCTTCATTTCTTTCCTTCTGTGCTAGTTTTACAATACCAAAGAGCACATCAGTGCTCACTGTCCTCTCATGTGCCTCATCTAGTATTATTATGGAATACTTTTTAAGCAAGGGGTCTAGAGTAGCTTCTCTAAGTAACATTCCATCTGTCAAATACTTTACTTTAGTCCTTGGACTTGTTACATCCTCAAACCTCACTGAGTACCTGTAACAAGTACTTCTGATTTAATAATATTCTAATCATACCTTAGCTGAAACTCAGTTGGCAGTATTCTAAGACTGGTGATAGTCCCATTCACATCGTCATCATTTACAGCGGTTTATCAGAAAGAAGGTTTTGGCCTTCTATAGCTCACTCGCCAGATGGGTTGGTATAAGCTTTGATACGAGTTTTCCTTGTCTTTGCAGTGTTGTAGTCCTGCATGATTTACTTATTTAGTCGGCTCTTACAACACCCATGGAACTAATAGGGGTGGTAACACTCCATACTCTTAATCTGACACCACATAGATAGACATTACATTTAAATAAGTATTACATAAAGTCATACCCAACAATAGATCCCACTTCAGTGTTCATTTCAGCTGCCACTCTCAGTGCTATAGTAATCGCAGCAACTCTCCGAGGTTGTGTTATAGCAATAGTTCCTGCACCTTCTATTCTCTGTTCATGAATCAATTGAGGTATCTGTGTAGTTTTGCCACTTCCTGTTTCTCCTATCAGAATCATAGTGTTGTTCTTTTTTATTTCTTCTAAAAGTCTGAAATATCAATTTTATATATTAATACCAGACAAAACAATCAATTTTCAGATTGTTTGTGATTGCCAGAAAGCTACTGTCAGGTACAGCCCGGTTGGAAAATGGAAAAAAATCCCTAGAATTTAGTGCAACATGCAACTTGGGATTTGTAGTAAAAAATGACAAAATAACTTCACACATACGTCTGATGCCAAACTAGGCAGAGCTTGTACTCTAGAAACTTGACTACTGGTAAACAAACTTACATATCTCTTACTAAACAGATACATATTATTAATAAATTATACCAAGACACAGAAAAAAATGATTGTGCACATTACATAATTATTTGTTCTGGGTAAAAATCTAATCAAACAACCTGTAGAACAGCAGGCTTGTCAAAACAATACTAAATACTAGTTGCAGACGAGATCTACAAACCTCTTTTTAACCATGTAAACTGGTAACTGCCTCCTGGCTTCCAATAAATCCTGTGGAGATTCTTTGTCAAACATATTATCATTAACATGTGTATTGTTGCAGCCATTTGCTTCCACCTTACTAGTATGTGCTACACTGGCAATTTCATTATTTAACTTTATCTTCTTTACTTTGATACTATCAATCATAATCTGATTTCTCTTCAAGCCATTACCTTTAGAATTATTAACACCCATACAAGCGTACTTGGAATCCATTTTTAAGTAGCTATTATATGTTTCAATATGTTTTTAAACAGTTTCCTTTTTAAAACAGGCTCCTAAAAAAATTGTAAAAGTGAGTAATTATAGTATAAAATAAAGTGTAAAAATGAGATATTAACTGTTACAATAAAATTACTAACATTGAAAAAGTATTTTACTATGGTAAGAAAAATATTGGGTTCATACACTTACAAGGAAATGCAAATTTACAATAAAGAGGTACTGTACTGTAATTGGGACCCTCTTTTTCTTAATATATAATAATGCCTTTATAGCAGGCTGATCTTCCTTGGGCTCTGGGGACAGTCATTAAGTTTCCTCACTTAAATAGTACTATTGAGTTTCGAACAATAAAAACAATGTAAATAAGGTAAAAATTATATCACTATTGTTCGAGATAACAAAAACTATTTACGCTTTACAGCGGCCTAGTACTATATTAGTAGATATAACATAAGTTGATGCCCGGAATCTTAAATACATGGAGATAAAAGAGTTGACTGTTGTCTCTTAAAAGTATCATTACGTACATTAAACGTACCTTAGCGTGAAAACAGCATTCAGTAACGGATCTCTTTGACTCAAACCGACATAATCATAATTATTTTACCGATTATGGCCCACCTTGCTGCAGAAGAAGGGAGCACAACCACCACGTGCGACGCATTTTATCACTCGCTATTGTTTTTAATCTTAACCCACAGCACAGAACATATATACCCACCCACAGTCTTAACCTACCATAGAGCAGAGGGCACCTGTGGAGGTGGAGAGCACTGTGCGCAGGCAGGCTTGATGAAAAGTATCGTTAAATGAATTTTTCGAATATTGTAATTTAATACATCGATATTTTTATTCGATTTATCGCAAAGCGTTATTTTTTTTTTTATTTATGTCACATATGTACCTGTCTACTAATCAGAGAAATTCTCAATAAAACTATACTAACTTGTCGTTTGTAAAAAAATCTGATATTAGCAAAAGTAGCACTCGTCGAGCAAGTACACTTGTTGTGGCAAAAATAAAGAACCAATTACACAAAAAAAAACTTTCAAAGGTACCCAACTTTATAACAGTCCTGACATAAAAGAAATGTTAGCACATTTAGCCAATTTAAGTTCAGATTATCTCATTTTATTATTATATTATAAACAACCGCTCGATATTTTTTATAAGAGAGATATTTTTTATTTCTTCAATAGTAATTGTAATTTCACTAAATATCAAAATGTTCCAGACGACCATTGTATGAAACTGTTATTATTAAGTTAAAATAGTTCTCATGTAAGTGGCATAATACTTGTACGTGTCTTTTTGAGAGTAAATTCTTCTTTAAACGTAAAGTCACTAGAATCCACAACCGTAAAAGATTGAAACGAGTGGGAAAAAGGAACTGTATTAGGAACTAAAGAATTGGGTCATTACATTTGGCGGTTGAAATTTTAACCATTAATAGCTTACAAATCTATTTTAAAGGTATTATAAGTTTTAAACATTTTTTTTAAGTCACTCCTATGTTTGCGTTGCGTGTATGTGTGTGTGTAATGTTTTGTTTTTGTGATGATTAACTAATAAAAACTATTGCTGATAAAAATACCTTTACTTTATTGAGATTTTTGTACACTAAAATAATGTATATTTTGTATGAAAATAACTATTCATATTATTCAGCTAAATACACTATTTTTTTTAAAAACGCTTAATCTTTTGCAAATTTGACCGATATATCGAAATTTTTCCTTGAGATATCTACGTCTCTATTGATATTTTTTCCTTAGTGCGCAGCTAACCAACATTTGTTAAATGGCTTTGCAATAGCAATAGCGATCTGAAAGCGAATAATCAAATTATTGGCAAAAAATCGATCTTTAATCGATATGTAGCACTGGATTGATTTAGTGAATCAATATTCAACCCTAGAAAATCATTTTGTTTTATTCTGTTTTAATAAAAACCATAAAGTTATTTACAGTGAGTTGAAACGAGAACTAAGGACCGAGTGCAAGTTTATTTTTATTTATTTTACATCGACTCGCACTCGACAGCGAGCGCGTTTAGCGTTGATTGGTAGAGATTTTAGTGCGGACCACAGAGTACATTGTTAGAGATTTTAGAGCGGACCACAGAGTACATTGTAATATTTTACTGAAATAGAGGTATATCTCAATCGCTTTTGGAGGAAATTACAAAACAACGCCATCTGTTGGACGCAACCAACAACTTTTCTCTAATAATAATAATATTTATTTGCAGAAAATGTGGTCACAGTAGGTGGATTACAATGTTTAAAGCACAAGACACATTTCGCTATATTAAGATAGCATGCAATTTTTTAAAATTGTACAGGTAAAATTATGAAAATAAAATAAAATTACATTACATTGCAATTGAAATATCAAAATCATATTAAAAATAATTACTACCCTAATGCATTTCTGCAGTGATATGACTGAGTAGAGTCCTTTTTAAAAAAATCATTGACGGAGTAAAAGCACTCTGCTATTAGCCAATTTTTTAATGAAGTACAAAATCTGTGATAAGGAAGAGTTGCAATATTCTCCGGCAACGCGTTATAGATAAGTGGTGCCATGTAAACACAGCTCACCCTAAAAATTTCTAGGCGAGGTACTGGTAATTTAAAATACGAGTGAGTATTTTTACGTTTGTTGGTATTGTCCTTGACTTCAAAGAACTCTTTATTGCACTTCACGAATTTAGCTACTTCGTAGATGAATATGCCAGGGAGGGTCAACAGATTATGAGATACAAAAACAGGCCTGCATGAATCTGTCCGTTTCAAACCGAATATTGCACGAAGCGATTTCTTTTGCGCTAAAAATACTCGCGTTATTTCTGATGAGTAACCCCAAACAATAATGCCGTAACGAATTATGGAGCAAACATATGCATGGTAGATCATTAAAGCAGTCTCCCTTGAAGCAACCTCTTTGACTTTTTTTAATGCAAACACAAACTTATTCATCTTTTTGCAAACGTTTTCTATGTGATACTTCCACGTCAGATGTTCGTCCACTGTAGAAATTTTGTGCTCTGTATTTGTTCTATTTTTTGATCATTAAATTTAACTGAAATATCAAATTGTTTTGTTTTTACTGTTCTGAAATGAATAAGTTTTGTTTTCTCTATATTAATTTTTAAATGATTCTTATCAAGCCATTTGATGATATTCCGAAGTGTCTCATTTACTTCATGTTCACATGAATTTAAATTATTACCACTTATTAACACTGTAGTCATCATCATCAACTGCCTATACTAGTCCACTGCTGGACATAGGCCTCTCCTCAGAAAGGAGGTTTTGGCCTACTATACCACGCTGGCCAGACGGGTTGGTATAGGGTTTGTTTCAAGTTTTCCTTCTCTTTGCAGTGCTGTTGTCCTGCTTAGTTTGCTCCCTTAGTCGGCTCTTACGAAACCTACGGGATGAATTGGGGTAGTGACAATTTGTATTCTTAATCCGTCACCACACGGACATAACACTGTAGTATCGTCTGCAAATAGCACAGATTTGCGATTTTGCATTGCTTGAGGGAGATCATTGATAGAATATATTTATACCTACATATCTATAATATAGGTAATACTTATTGTATACAGTATTGTTTAAACAGTGTAAAATAAAACAATGTAAAAAAAAAGTTTATTTTCGTGCATTAGGCCAGTGTCAAGTATTTTACATTTTGTCAACAAAGCGAGGGTAACGTATAGCACGAATTAAAATAATTAAAAGTACCAGGAATAAAAAAAAACAATCAGAATAATTAACTATATATAACAAAAGAAAACAAGTAATATGAAACTACAATCTAATCTTATTATTTACAATAAATTACTACTATATATACAGGATCTATTATCTTTAAGAAGTAAGTAAATATTAGAAGGAAGAGGAATAGAGAGAGATATTAGAGATTCGTATAGGGAAGAGTGGTCATATAAAGGATAAGAAAAGAAAACATGATTCATATCGCAATAACTCTCACCACATTCACAGGCAGCACTAGATACTATGCCAAGTTTATGCAGATGTACCGGAAGGCAAATATGTCCAAGACGCATGCGGATTAAAGACGAAGTGGCAGTTTTATTAAAACACAGTTTGGCAAACCATGGTTTTCTTGGGACTAAAGGCTGTATAGCGTAGAGGAAGCGACCCTTGATCTGACCGCTCTCTCTCAAGCTCGAATTCCACGTATCATGGAGATACGTGCTAGGCAAAGCACTCAGGTCGTGGCCGAAAATCGTGTATGGGTATAAATCGCCACTCACAGTTGCTTCGTTTGCCAAACTGTCAGCTCTCACATTTCCTATGATGCCACAGTGGCTAGGTATCCAACAGAAAGTGACTGTGTAGTTGTTTAATTGGCAATGCAACAACTTTCTCTTACATTCAAATGTTATGTGGAAAAAAGGACTCAGTTTTAAGGAAAATTTATCTAAGCTTTGTAAAGAACTGAGTGAATCAGTAAATATAACGCTTTTGTTGAGTTTAAAACTTATAATATATTCTATTGCTTTCAGAAGATGTTTCTGGTGGTAATTTTATTTTTTGGACTATATTATATTGGTTATGAAATACGCGTACTCCAACACACCCTGTGGGACGTTTAGATGCATCAGCATATATGTGATGCCAATTTGGCCATTTAGTATTTTCAATAATAATATGGCTAAAAGTAGTGTTTGCATTACAATCGGACCTATCTACATTGAGAGAAAAATAAATAGTGGAGATAAAAGAAGAGAATCATATGAAGTTTTAAATAAAGGAAGGACTCTAAAAGAATGTGTAGGAGCTTGTAACGATTTATATTTCTGAAAACTTTTTAATAGGCATGGAAAGGGCTTATTACTAGAAGACAATTTCTCTGACAGTAATTCAAGTTTGGAAGCTAAAGGATGATTAGAAAATTTAACAAGCCGGAAAATAAATCTGTCCGAGAGATACTGGCGCCTAAGCTTAAAGGGGGGTCGCAACATTCTATTTGAAGTGCATTAACGGGAGTGCATTTCATTGCACCTGTAATGAGTCTTAATGCCTTAGAATGAATCAGGTTCAATTTCTTAAAACCTGCCACACTCCCCGGATCTAAAAAGAAAGTACCAAAATCTAAAATACTTCTAATAGTGGCGTTGTAAACCAACTTCATAGTAGCTGGATGAGCACCCCACCAGACACCGCGTAGCCATCTGAGCATATTCAAATTCCGTTCACATTTTGAAACTACAAGCTCACAATGGGCTAGACCTGTTAGTTTCGCATCAAGCACAACCCCTAAAAACTTTACTTGATTTTTGCTTGGTAAATGTGTATTATCACAAGTAATAGTAGGTGTGTGAGGATTTCGAGATTTGGTAAAAATAACGCAGCTACTCTTTGACGGAGATAGATCTAGGCCATTAGTATCCATCCAAGTTTTTGAAGAAGATGAAGATGAAGAAATATTCTCACACGCAATTGCTACAGATTTATCAGAGGCGTATACGACCAAGTCATCCGCATACTGTAGGATATCAACATTATCACCAACAGACCTTTCTAAGTCATGTGTATATATGTTGTACAGCAAAGGGCTTAGTACAGAATCTTGCGGCAACCCCTTCCAGATCAATCTACTAGGTGTATACGGGTCTCCAACGTCCAGAATAATTTGTCTCTCGGAAAGAAGATTAAAAATAAAGTTAGTTAAAAGGTGTGGGACGTTCAAATTATTCAGCTTTTCTTTAAGAGTGGGAAGTAAAACGTTATCGTATGCAGAATTAATATCCAAGAAAGCAGCGACTGATGATTTTTTGTCTAAAATAGGCGTTACGAATATCAGTAGTAAAAATCCCCAAGTTATCGGTGACGCTTTTCCCCTTTCTAAAACCAAACTGTGTCTGAGGGAGATGCTCATTATTCTCAATGAACCATTCAAGACGATTTTTAATTACATGTTCAACTACTTTAGTAATTACCGATGATAAAACTATTGGGCGATAAGATTCAACATTAGACTGTGTTTTATTTGGCTTTAAAAAGGGCAACACTATTTGCCTTCGCCAAGATAAAGGAATGTCACCCGACAAAACTACTTTGTTTATTAAATTTAAAAAGTGATTTAAGCCATTTTCACCAATGTGTGATAAAAAGGAATATGGTCTTCGTTCCGTCTTCCCCAGGAGCACTGTCCTTGATGTGGTTTAGCACTCCTTTTAGCTCGACCATAGTAATAGGAAGATTTAAAGAAGAAGAGCTATTGGTTTTAATGAGTAGGGAACGGATAATTAAATCTTGGTGTGGTACAGAAGCAGGAGCCAAACGGTCGAGGAATTGATCGGCTAATACAATAGGAAGGAGAGGCGCACTGGAAGGATTTATAGCTGTTCTAAATCTCTTGATGTTTCGCCAAAGAACTGACGAATGTGTTTCGGGTGACAAGGAACTGCAAAAATTCCTCCAACCCTCGAACTTCTTTTTCTTAAACAACTTCCGTGCCTCGTTCATTATCTCCAACAGCGCGTCATAATTCTCCAATGACATGTTAATGCGATAGTTCTTCTCAGCAAGATTCCGCCTAGATATAGCACTGGTGCATTCTTCATCCCACCATGGTGGCGATGACAACTTATTATTACGTGGCTTTCTCTTAACAATATCGGCAGCTTGTAATAAAACAGATTTAAAGTAGTCAGTATCACAAGTATTTGTATCTTGAGGAAATGTTTCTTCTACTAATGTAGTATATTTGTCCCAATGAGAATCAATGATTTTATGTTTAAATCGCGGCTTTGATAGTAATGCTTTATTTTGTTAATTATAGGGAAAGGAAATAACAATGGGATAGTGATCACTATTGAAAGTGGAAGGCAAAGTAGACCAAGATAATAAAGACGCTAAATTGGAAGTACAAATAGACAGGTCTATAGCACTGATTGCTTAATCAGGCCTAGTGAGCCGGGTAGGGGAGCCCGTATTTAAGTTACACAGATCATATGAGTCTAAAATATCCAACAATTCATGTCGATAACAATTAGAGAAGGAACTACCCCAGGATGTGTGATGAGAGTTAAAATCACCCAAGATCATGAAAGGATGAGGAACAAGTAAAATTATATTTCTAATTTTTGGAATCAGCTACCTAGACCATGGAATGACCTAGCTGGTCGGAATCCATGCCAGATTCGTTGGAAATTGTAACAAATGCTCCCGCAGGGGGCACCATGCCCCCTGGGTCTGGCGGCTCGTTCATAAAAGTATTAGAAAACTTACCCTACGCAGAAAGAAAAGACGAATAATAAATATAGGAATAACACTAATCTAAATTTATTCACAACTTAAAACTATTCTGATTACTAATTACAATAAATCTACAACTTTATTTGAAAAAATTAAAAAAACCGCGCCCGCAGAATTCGAAGGTTTCCCGCGCTTTTCATGTGTCATGTTGACTTAAAAAGAAAATTAAAGTTTTTCAAAAATTTTAATATAAGTCTACATTTATCAATTTTATCATACAAAATAACTACCAACTCAATGTAAAAAAAAAGCCGTGTGGTGTCGTGGGACACCCGATAGGAACGAAGTTGTGACGATCTAGTAAAACTGATTTGACACGATTTTAATTACAACGCCATCTATGAAAGCGGCTATTACCTACATACTAAAAACAATTAAAATAATTTATACATTGGTAAAATCTCCTTGCGAAATGATTTCCTATCTATTCAATAGATGGCGCTGAATGTCTGACAAGATGACACGAAAATAAAGAGCAAAAAGCCAACATCACGTGGTATTCCCAGGCGGTCACCCATCCAAGTACTAACCACGCACGATGTTGCTTAACTTCGGTTATCGGACGAGAACCATTATATTCAACATGGTATGGACGTTGGCGAACGTTAAAGCAAATTTAATGTATGGTATCCACAGTTAGACGTCAATTTATATTAAAAGTGTCGTTCCAAATTTTCGTATGAATTTTTTCCGTCTAGCCCCCTTTCACAACGCGCGATAAGGAACTTCGTTCCAAAAAATAATGGCAACATTTTATTTTCCAAAAGCATAAGGTTCATCTTTGGATTGCGCAAATTTGACCATATTTCTGAATTTCGGAATAAGCTTAACTGGTTACCCATTCGTCTTCGCCGGAATATTCATATCCTTTCACTATTATACAATATTCTCTTTAATCCCAACACTCCCCTTTATTTAAAGGAACGCTTCAGATTCCTACGTGATACGCATTCAAAGTCCTTAAGATCGTCAGAGAGCTTGACTTTGGAAATGCCAAAGCACACCTCGACTTTTATGGACAAGTCATTTACAGTGCAGTCTATACGCTTATGGAATGCATTGCCACTGCCCATCAGACGAGCACAAACACTGCCTTGTTTCAAAAGGTTGCTGAAGGAGCATTTCCGAAGCTGCTAAGCGAGGGTCCCCTCACTCAGTCAGAAATCTTATATTTATCTGTCTGTTACTTCTATAGTCTCTGTTAAATGTATATTTTGTGTAATGAATTCATTGTGTAGTGATGTGTGTATGTGTTTAGTGTATATGTTTGAATTAGTTTGTATAATCAAATAGTCTTAATTTACAAAAACTCCGATCTACAAACTGCAACCCCTTACTCCTATTCTCCTTCTCCATCCAGTGGTTGCCTGGAAGAGATCGCAAAACGCGATAAGGCCGCCAATTGTACAAATTTTAATACTTTACTCTCCATGTTACAATAATTTAACTTTAGATATAAGACACACAATGTATACAAACTGATTTCTTCTTTTTTATTATGTTTTTTGTACAATAAAGAGTTATCTATCTATCTAATTTTATAATGATTTCAGAAAATAGTGATATACGTTCCGGGATAATAAAAACTAAAACAACTCACTTTATGTTTTATGCGGATTATACCGAAAGTAACGACATCTTACAGTGGCGACTGGCGAAATCACATTTTTTTTTGCACGTACACACGTATTATACGCCTAAATGAAATGTACGTAATGTTGTTAATACGTTAAAACAAATAAAAAACCATTGTATTTGGTTTCTTTATTTTCGTAACATTCCAAGGATTGTCGACTAAGATTGTACCGCCCGGCCCGGACCGTCTAATGTCAATGTCTAATAGCTATGGACAGATTGGACAGTATGGACACAGTATATTGAATAACATGAGGCGATGGATAAGAAGAGATTAGACGTTCATATTCCATTTTAAAATTATTTGCTAGTAAAATCAAAAGCAATTATGACTTTAAAACTTCTATTTAGTAAAAGGTTCTATAGTAGAATGGTACATGCTGTTTATAATAATGCACAATATAAAAATCCTATCCAAAAAACTGTCGATATTCTTTCAAGGGACATGCCCTCAATAATTTCTAAGAAAAAAGTTTCTATTGTATATCCTGAGCATGCTGATATAGTTATAATAGGTGGAGGATATATAGGGTCTTCTATTGCATATTGGTTGAAAACAAGAGCAGGTGAAGGACTCTCAATAGTGGTGCTGGAGAAAGACTTCACAGTAAGTAAATATTTTTCTCCGTTTGTCAACACATAAAATTATAATAAGAAGAGGATATTCTTTAGAGGATCTCCTACAGCATATTAGTTAGAACGACAGTAGGTGAAGTGCTTTTAAGTGTGGAGAAGTACATATTTCCTTTGTTCTCCCTTTATTAGTACTAAAATTCCGTGTGGTGACGGATTAAGAATATGGAATGTCACCACCCTTATTCATCTTGTACTTGTTGTAAGAGCTGACTAAGGGAGCAAACTATGCATGACAACAGCACTGCAAAGAGAAGGAAAACTTGAAACTAACTCTATACAAACCCATCTGGCCAGTATGATATAGTAGGCCATAACCTCCTTTCTAAGGAGAGGCCTATATTCAGCAGTGGTCTACTAAAGGCTGTTGAACTTAACTATGTTATTGATCTTATCTGTGGACTTTAATATTTTATTCTAAAAATGAAGCTTATTTAAAAAGTAAAATAATTCATACTAAATTATATTTATCATTGTTACTTTATTTTTCTGTTTCAGTATAAAGAAGCACAGAAAAACATTTCTTTAGGTACACTGACACAGCACTTTTCTTTGCCTGAAAATATTCAACTGTCTAAGTATTCAGTAGACTTTATGAGGACTGTTAGACAGTCTTTAAACAAAGATTGTGACCTACAATACACCCCAACCGGTTCTTTAGTGTTAGCAAGTGAGAAATATGTAGACAAACTAGAAGAAAATAATCTTTTGCTTAATGAACTTGGTGTAAAAAGTAAACTTCTTACAACATCTGAAATAGGTAAAAAGTTTCCATGGATCAACACGCAGGATATTAAACTAGGTAAGAAAAGCTTGCCTGAGAATAGCTTTTAGTTAATATTGTGGTGGACTAGAGAAAGCTTACTTAAAGATAGTTTTGATTCTAGGCTGTGCACAAGTAAGTCTTGTAATGTTATCATATTTGATTTGTTAAAGGTAAAAATTTAAGTATTTATTTCACATTCCATTTCCTTTATTATTGATGGATACACTGCTGCTTCTGTTTTGCTCAGCCTGAATGATGGATCTGTCATTATATATTATATTATAAAGAAAAGTGACAAATCATTTACATTTTGCAGGTTGTATGGCTATTGAAGGAGAAGGGATATTCAATTCATGGGCTTTATTAAAAGGTCTCATTCAAAAGTCAACAGAACTTGATACAACATACATTAATGCTGAAGTAATAAACTTTGGTGTAGAAAAACAAAAAGATGTCCTAATGGAAGGTGTTGAACCAGGAACATTTCAAAGAATAAATAATGTGGTATATAGAACACCAGAAAATGAAGTATATGAAATTAAATTTGCGATCTGTGTATTAGCAGCCGGCCACGATTCTGGTCACCTGTGTAGATTGGCTGGAGTAGGCACTGGGGAAAAAATTCTCAAAGTACCATTACCAATAGAGAAAAGGTGAATATTCTACTTAAATTGCAACACCAAGCATTAAAATTATTTTTCCTAATGTTATCGTAAGATCTAATTGTTACTTCATTTGTAAACTGACATTTTATAGTGACTGTGTCAATGTATGACATCTATATATATATGAAGTAGAATCACTTGGCTGTCATACTGCATCCTAAAGGAATATATAATTATGTACTGTTTTAAAAAGTCCTAATTTAACATAACACTAGCAACCATTTATATATACAGAAACATGTCAATGTGCAAAATTGAGAATCCATTCTATTAGTGACAAAATTGTATGAGTTGCAAAAGTAGTTTTGTAATACCATATTTAAGTTTTTGGAATTACATTGTTACTTAAGCAGCTTGTACATCCAGAAAACAGACTAAAATTCTAAACACTAAGTATGCTTTTAAAGGTTCGTGATTTGCCATAAGTACTTAAGTCATTAAATGTCTCTCAATCTAAAATTATTTTTATACTAGATAATCTAAGATGGTTAATGGATGCAGGATGGTTAATGAATTTAATTTTGCTTTTTAAGAGAAGCAGGGCAATAAGGAGGTCACTGTTCCCCTTCTTGAAGTTTTCAGCAAATTTAATCTTATCAATTAATTGTTTCAGAGAATACAATGTTTACTCAATTGAGGAGAAGGCAATTGAATCAGGTTTACTTACACCATTAGTAATGGACACTACTGGCTTGTGGCTGATGAGAAATGGTCTAGAAAATAATCTGCTGTGTAGTAATCTACCAATGATGAATGATGACACTAAAGATTTGTCAGAAACTGATTATTTCGATAATATTATCAAGCCCTCTTTAGTCAATAGATTCCCAATGTGTACAAATGCAAAGGTACTTATATTACATTGACACTATATACAGACTGGGATAATAGATATCCCAAAAAATGAAATAACAGATAACACGGTTCAATATACGTCGGTTAAAATAAAAAATAAAAAAATTAGTACGAAAATACAGAAATGCAAATTTAGAACAAACTAATTACAATAAAATAATTTCCGAATTAGAACACCATTGATAACATGAGTCGGTGAACTGTACCTACACGGCAGCGTCGCAATGTCGGCGACATCAAAACGACGCCGCCGCGGCCGTCCTACCTACCAATCACTTCACTTGCTTTTTAAAATCTATTTATAATGAATACGATTTTATTCACGTTTTTATTTTGGGAATGCTCGACTAGCTTCGGACCCAGCAGTACGTGTCACTCCTTGAAAAAGTAGGTACCTTGGTTGTCTCGTAATCTTTGAACCGGCCTTACAAAAATTCCGCAGTCTGTAGGACATACACGATTGACTCCATACGTGTCCGTAAAGCAAAAGATGCGTTTTGATAGAGTTTACCATAAATTAACATCATGGCAGGATATTCCGCGGCTGTGAAGGTCACTCACGGCATTATGGATGTTGATACCGATAACCCAATAAAATTAAAAGACTGAAAATTCACTCAGTTTCACACTACACTACACACAGAACCTTATATTGTCACTTTGCAAAATAAAATTAGCAGGACTCGTTACATTACGAAGTCTTGCGCACACGATAATATTAATTGTTCAAACCATTGCCGTGTATTATGACGAAAGCAATAAGACTAAACAATTATTACCACCAGAAAACTTTTCTAAACAAATATGTATCGCATAAACAACAACAATATTATTATTACGGTTATTAGCGCATCTACAAGGATACGGAATAGCATAACACTCGCCGGTGACCAAGAGCCGACTAACTGTCCTTACTGGATGAACTAATTAAAAACGCGTGTCCATCATCGTAATGACGTAATAATCAACATATTTCGTTCGATTCGAGTGTAGTAAAAGCGGCAACGTGTGATTACCGCGCCGCGTATACCTACAGCTGATCGCCGCCTGAGGTCAATGTATTATGACTGCATGTACACATGATGTTGCAATTTACGAAAACAAAAAAAAATCCTGTTTCTAAACCACTGAATATTTTTTGTTCATATTTTGCGAATCGTCTAGAAATAAAGTGCAGAATATGATGTTAAAAGCTTTGCGTTAATATATGAAACAGACTGTATATAAGATTTTAACAAGATAACTTTTTATTTAAACAATTCTGTAATCTTTAGTTTTAGTATTATAATGCATTAGCATTGCCTGTCCAATTGGTTAAGTGGTTAGCTACCCTGACTGCTAAGCCAGAAGTTGTTGGGTTTGATTCTTATCCAGGACACATAATTGTGTGAGGAGCAAAATCATTTGTTCTATGTCTGGATGTTATTATCTATAATATGCATGTATTTAGAAATATAAAAGTAGTTTATCCACAGTCTGGTTACCGTAGTACAGGCTCTGCCAAGTTTGGGATAAGACTGTAGTATGTGAGATGTGTGAAGCAGTGGCGGATTAGCCACGTAGCAAGAGTAGCAAATGCTACGGGCCCCGCGCATTCGGGGGCCCCCGCTCTTTCTGACCGTAAAAAAGTATCTACTTACACGTATTTCGATCGGAGTGTGAAAATATTTTTTCAAATCAATAAAGCCAAAATTCTTATCACGAAAGAGTTGCATCTAAATGTCGAACTATAATTTGACGGGCCTGTTGGTTTAGTGGTTAGTGAGCCTGCTAAGCCAGAGGTCGTGGGTTTGATTCCCACCCAGGACAAATAATTGTGTGATAAGCACGATGATTTGTTCTGTGTCTGGGTGTAATTTATCTATAATATGTATATATCTATATCTATTGAGAAATATATAAGTATGTTTATCAGCAGTCTGGTTAGAATAGTACAGGCTCTGCCTAGTTAAGAAACATACAGCCGTGTGTGTGATGTGTTAAGTAAAAAATTTAAACTTTTAGTACATTTCTAAAACTATGATTTGCACTGCGACCCAACGCTGCGTGTGACACCCAAGCCAAGCAAATTGCCCGCGTGTGCTGAGCCGCGTCCTCACTGCAATCGGAGTGATGACAGGCGGGATTCAATTCCCTCCTATCGAACGATTGCAGAATCAGCCGTTCCCAGAAAGAACCTGCTCTGCTCTGGACGCTCTGCCCACTCAACGATTGGCCTCAACTCAACGACCGGTTGGAGTGCCTCTACGGCGGCAAAGCGAGCTCGTGGAGCCTCCAGGCTGGACCGACCAACGAGCCATCTTTTCTCGGCGAGAGGCTTTACGCCCCTCGTGCTCCTCTTCGGGTGGGGGCCGAGCACTTCCTTCCCAAATCCCACGAGAGTGTTCCGGCCAGGCGTCGACACGGTGCTATAACCATGGTTCTAACTGCCAATGCCCTCTAAGGGCGCCAGAATAAAATATGTTTTATAAGCTCAGACTTATTTTAACAGTGGCGTGCAATCATTTTTTGTATTAGGCTGAGTAAACATGCTTTTTATATTCAAACCCAGAATAATATTAATATTAAATCTTAACATTTGGTAATAAAAATCAATAATGACACAATAGTAAACATACAACACAAACTGCACAATAGACATTGAGATAATACATCCATAATCATAGCACTTACTTAATTTTGGTGAATGCGCGCCCTATGCCGGGCGGTCAGAACTGCCGTCCACACTGGGGCACCGTACAGTGCCATTGACTGGACAGCCCCGTGTACAGCTGTCTTGAAACGATGCTGGTTGGGCAAAAGTCACTTAACAGCAGACGCAGTGCCGACCAATTTTAGGGTAAGCTCATCGAAGAGCCATCTCCCGTCAAGTATCAGGCCCATATCCTTCATCTGGGCCTGAACCGGTACGTTGACCAAGATGACCACGATTGAGGCGCCAGGGGGTGGACTACAACTAGGCCCAAGAAATAAGAGGCCTCCGTCTTATCCAGGACCACCTTTAAGCCAACCACCAAAGAGACACCCCAGGTCCCCCCTCCTACCTACAGACAACCAAAGTGTCGTTGGCGTAACAGATTACGCCCAGCCCGGGGGGAAGTCTCCTCGAAGGGCCTAGTCGTACCCTATGTTCCACAGGAGGGCCCAAGACCAGAGCCCTGTTCAACACCACATGACATGGGCCAACGTCTCCAAATTGAAACAAAAACTATAGGGTTTGTTTCTTGAAACTTAAAACAAGCCCGAGTAGGGTTTGTTTCTTGAAACTTAAAACAAGCCCGAGTAGGGTTTGTTTCAAATTTGAGACTGGGATAACCAACCCGTCTGGCCAGCGTAGTATAGCAAACAAAAATTTCCTTTCTAAGGAGAAGCCCATATCCAGCAATAGACTGTTGAGGATGATGATAAATACCATAAACTAGATAACCTAAACCAACCCAAGGGGCCCTTGGTAGAATTTGCTACAGGCCCCGCGCTGTCTTGATCCGGCACTGGTGTGAAGTTATTACTCTTCCCTCCCCCTCCCTCAGAAAGATATGTCTATTTTAAAGAAAGGTACCCTAAGCCTTTTCATGTATATAAATACCCAACAACATGAATGCAAAATTTAAAACGTGAATAAGTAACTTGAAAGCATAACAAACAAAAAGTCATTTTTGCATTCATATGTTATGATAATCTCCTAAAATAATGATTATTATTTCACAGATTAATAAATACAGGACAGAAAGCCATGATTGTAATACTTTTGACAATAGTGGTATATTGGGTCCACATCCTTATCACAACAACTTATTCATTGCAGCTGGGTTTGGCAGATATGGTTTGTATTTCTAAAATTTTGAATGTAGTCTTCTCCGCCGTCTATAAAATATGTAAAAAGTTACATATTTTTACGAATTGTATTCTCTATATGTACCTACTACCTCTTAAATCAACATTTTGCACTTTGACAGCATTTCGTGTTTAATAATATATCCATGTACTATGAATTTGTAATACTTAAACTGGTTGGTCTACTTAATAATTACAGCCAGTTCAGAAGTTCATATAAAGCATGCACCAATATGTATTTCCTAACAAGTTTTAAATATTTTTCAAATACTGTCCCATGAACTGTGGATAACTTAAGAGAATTTTAGGAGTTACATGCTAATAAATTATTGTTTTGTTTACCCCTACTGTTGTGTTTTTGTTATAGGTTGTCAGCATGCACCGGGGTTAGGCAGAGCCATTGCTGAATTAGTCATAGACAGCCAATACACAACTATAGATTTAACAAGGTTTGGTTTTGATAGATTGCTAATGAATGATGCAATTGTAGACTTCAATGTATATTAACTTAGATATAATTATTTAATTTCAAATAAAAAGAAATATTAAATTTGAATTATAAATAAAGTTTTATTTGCAGCTTTACTAAAGTTCTTATATTTAAGTACAAAATAATATTTTACTTAAATTGGGCAGGGGGTGTGGCAAATAAGGCTCCACCTTGTTTCGAAGCAGCACGTGATGGAGCAAAGCCTAGAAGCTTCTGAATATTTTGCCTGAAAACAAATAACTAGTAGTATTACTTATCATCACTAACTGTTTATGTTTTAATATGTGCACCTGGATCGAGGGCCCATTTTATTTATCTTTGTCAAAAGAAATAAAATTCATAGAGTAATTTGTAAAATATAGTAAAAAATTAGAAAAAGGCCATGAATGCCATAAAACGAAAATTAAAACTGTTAGGATTAAGTAACTAGGGCCCTCAATTCAGATGTGTGCTTAAAGTGACAGCCTAAATCTTAGAAAGTACTATCTCTGAGTCAATCATTTTTATTGAACAATATATTAGGTCTTTACCTATGAAACTGCCGTTTTGTATGCAATAAGTGAAAGTACTTATTTTTTCAAACTTATTTCTGTTATTTGAAGTAATCACCCATGCAATCGACGCATCTTTGCCAACGCAAACGCTTCTTGTAAAAATCAGCTGGACGGGAGGCAACAAACTCTTCAAAGGCATTTTGTACTGCCTCTCGGGAATTGAATTTTTTCCCCACTAAAAAGTTGTCTAAATTTTGGAAAAAGTAATAGTCGGTAGGTGCAAGGTCTGGTCTGGTCAAAGATACGAGTTTCGCCTATAGTTAGCTACAGCAAAGGGAACGTGTAATAGGGGACGATGTCTAAAAACTAATTGATTCGTTCCAAGTGTGATATTGCTCAGCAATTCTGGACAATCTATGGTACCATTGGCGATGTTTATCAAGAAACATGTGTCACTAACAGTTCGTCTCTGTTCCAAAGGCAAGAAATGATAACGCGTGCAACGTTCACTGTAATCGGCAGATTGTTGGGCTTTAATATCTAAGTAATGCAAAAACTTTCGCTGAATACCCAGATATGACTCGAGCCGATTTCTTTATCTTTCCTAAACTCAAATTACCCCTTCGTGGCACCCATTTTCAATCGGTAAAAGACAAAAGGGAATTCGCGGCGAGAACTTAACTCAATTCCGGAAACAGCGTTTAAAAAATGTTTTTTGGTGATTGGATCATTCGTTGGCGTAAGTGTATTGTTTCTGAAGGAGCATACTTTGAAGGTGATAAAATAAATTTGGATGAATAACAAACATTTTGTGTATTATTGATCTTCGCACGGTACTTTCTTGACAGAGTAGTATGTAGAACATTAGTTAACATTACATTACAGATTTATTAAGCGGTATATCTAGGTCCCTCAATTCATTAATGTCTTTACTGAGGAATCTGCAAAACATGAATTTATCTCAAGGAATACATAAATACGACTTTTTAGTCTATTTATTTTAATCTAAAGCATGAAATTGCAAATTGTATAGTTATAGATACTTTGAGTTGACATAAAACCTTCATAGGGTGAGATGTTCGTGTGAAACTTTTTTCACATGATAACTATGAGTTTTTCGTGTGAAACATTTTTCACATGATAACTATGAGGTTCTTCTTTTAAAAAATGTGCAACATTCGAACTTTCAATTATTATTTTATTCAGGGTAGACGTGAAAGATGGATACTCAGAAAAGAGGAGACTGCTAATGAACGCACCGTACGTTTTTTGTTTAAACGCTTTCGTAATGGAAATTTCCGACTTGAAGCACGAACCACGTGGACGACCGCCGACACAGGTGAATAACGCTGAATTGAAGGAGATGGTGAAGCCGATCCGAGTCAAACTACCCAGGAATTAGCGGCATAGTTTAACGTCAAATCAATAAGATTGTTTTTTTTTAAAAATGGATGTCTCATGATTTGACTGATCTGCAGAAAGAAATGCGGGTACAAGACAAACGCCGCAATAGTTCCCTTTAAGCAAAGCTTACCAATAAAAGGTAATAGTATCTGTTTTGTGGTTTTTTCATGGTGTTATTCACTATAGCTTTCGCAGGTCTGGTTAGGCAATAACAGGAAATGTTTACTGTGCCGAACTTCGAACAATGATGGCGAAACTGGCAGTGAAACTCCTGAATCGATCTTCACCAATATTGCTCCACGATAACGCAAGACCTCACATTGCATGAGAAACCGTTGTAACTTTACAAGAGCTGCAGTTAGAAACTATACGTCATTATTTTTTTCGTGATTTGGACAATCTTCTACGTGATAAAAAAAGCATTCGCAGGAGGCGGTACAAAATGTTATCACACAGTTTGTCGAATCTAGTTCCCCAGAGTTCTATCGTAATGGCATAAATGAACTTCCGTTTAGATGGCAGCAATGTATAGATATTAAATGTGAATATTTTGTTTTTTTTTTATGCTATAGGGGGCAAACGAGCAGACGGGTCACCTGATGGAAAGCGACTACCGCCGCCCATGAACGCTTGCAACTCAGGATTTACAAGCGCGTTGCCGTGATTAAATATATGTGTTACATCTTGGAAAAAACGAGTTTAATTGTTTAGTTAGTACAAATCTTCAATTACATACTTTAACCCCTAATATTAAGAAAACCTAAGCTAAATTCTTAAATAAACATTGTTGACTCAGAAATAGTACTTTCTGAGATTTAGGCTATGCTACTAGATTTAGTGCTTTGCACGCGTCTGGATTTAAGTCCTAAGTTATTTAATCCCAAATGTTTTAATTTTACTAATTTCGCTTTAAATCTTTTCGTTTCGCAAAATTTAAAAAAACGGGCACTGGATCCAGATGCTTTAATACACTGTTTTAATACCTTAATATTTTTCAAAAACTTACCTAGTATTACTATTCAAATTGAAAATTTAAAAAATAGCATGTAAAGTACAATTGTTATTTAACTTAACATAACAAATAATATTCCAATTACCTTATGCTCATAGTACACAGTATGTACAAGAAAATGAAGGAGCAGTCAGTATAGTTATCGCCTGGCAAGTTCCTGTGGCTAAGTCCTTGTATCCATGAGATAGGGTAGAAAGGTAGCTTTGCTACTACTCTTCCATCAAATCTAGAAACACAAAATGCAATTATAATTAATAAAAAAAAGTGTGAACCACTCGGCCTAGAACTGACAAGTTCTAAGGTAGGAACATACTATCACTAAATACCATACCAAACTGAGATATACATAGACACAGAGTATGTGAGGTTCACACTCTTTTAAAGGGATTGCTATTAAGTATTACCCAAAAGTCTGTCAGGTAATTGCAAGTATTTATTTCTTCATTTACAAATACATCAATGGACTTTAAGCAAAGTCAGTGCAAAACAAGTTAAGAAAATAAACAATATTTGCCACTTGGACTAATGAAAGCACTTGTACATGGATTCCAAGCATTCACATTGTTGTCCACAGATAATTACCTTAAGTTAATTTCTTGCTAGTCAACTGCAGCTTTTATGTAACATAAAATCTTGTAAATTAGCCATAAGGTGAGACTTACTTACTTACTTTAATATGTTTCTAGGCTTATGTATAGGCATCCTCTAGTGAGAGAACTTTTAATAAAAATATGTCATCTTACATGCTGTTAAACATGCTGAGTAGAGCTGTAAATGCAAATCCAATGGCAAACATGGACTTCATCTTCACTAATGAAAGATCTCTGTTGTTGTTCTTTAATCTTTCCTCTTCTCTTTCAATTTTCTTCTTATGTTGTTTATCCAAAGAGTCTCCATGGGCTTCCTTGCGTTTTTCAACTGTAAAAATTAATACAGGCTATGAGGTCATTAAATGTATTAAAGTATTTCAATTAATTAAGGTTATCAAATTATAGCTTATCAGAGGATTTATCATACAGAAGTAACTCGTAGAGGTAGAGATGGTGAGGGCTTTAATGTCCAAATAGTAAAGTATGTTTAAAAATTTGTAATTACTAATAGTCATTAAGAATGCTTATAGGATGCACATATCTACAAGATACAAGCCAATACAGCTTGTGGCAATTTGCGATAGTGACTGCTGCTGGTGCAAATGTTAATAGCTACCAACAACTCAACTATCAAAATGACATGTATTTGACTGTCATCTTCGTTATTGGCTACTGGCTACTATAAAATTTTACCTTCAAATAATGAAAAAAAGAGTTACTGAATATTACTAGCCGAGTTTCAATAAGTATAGCTTAATCTAGATTAGCAGTGCTGTACAGCAAAGCAGAGATATCGTTGGAAAAGTGGTCACTGCATAACAACAACAATATGTCTGTCTAAATTATTGTGTAAATATATTATAGCTCTATTGTAGTACCTGCTCTTTTTATGTATCAAAGATAATAAAAACTAGAGAAAAATACATGTGGCGACGGATTAAGAATATGGAGTGTCACTACCCCTATTCATCCCGTACCTGTCGTAAGAGGCGACTAAGGGAGCTAACATAGGACAACCAGCACTGCAAAGAGAAGGAAAACTTGACACAAACCCGTCTGGCCAGCATGGTACAGTAGGCCAAAACCTCAGCCTATGTCCAGCAGTGGACTATTAAAGGCTGTTGATGTGAAATACAATTAATAGTCATGTTTGTTTTTTATATTAAAATTCGATGAATGGGCTAGCCAAGATTATGAATGTGCGAGTGAGGTGCTTTGTAAGGTGAATTAATATTTTGATATTTAATCAACAATTAGTGTCCCAATTTATTGTGATTTTTAGAACTGGGTCCTAACTCAATTGAAGTACTTACTTGTAACTAAAAATAGTTTATTGTAAATGTGTCGTTACAAATTGTTCTAATTTGTTAATAAATTATAAACTTACGCTTTTTACTTTGACGTTCAACTTCAACTTTCAGTTTTTGGTATTTTTCTGTCCGGTAGACCAATATCCAAGTAAGCCCTATGAAATACAAAATACTATTAGTTTATTATTAAATTTCAGTAAAAAATTCTAGCCATAGGTAAATTCTAACGTACCTTCACCTAAGAATGCCGTACATATAGAAATGAAAACTATTAGTAAAGAATCACTCCACATTATTTAAATTGTTTCTGTTCCTTCTGGAATTTTGAAGATTTTCTTATTTTAGTAGTGTATTCAACCACTCAAATTTGCTCTTCGATATTAATTTAATATTTATTTTTGTAAAAATTTATGAATACTCGAGTGAGAAGAAAACCAGCTCGTCTCGAAAAATTGACAGATTTGACACTTTGACAGTTGACTGGATCGCGATCAAAGCGTAGAGTTGTGTAGCTCCTGAGTGAATGATATAAAAGATATATATCATTCACGACGATAAAATGTATCACTCACTCACACTAGCTCCGAATATATCAGTAACTCACTACTAACTCACTAGATCACTAGATCACTAGCTCAACGACGCCGATCTTTGTTTCATGAGCGAGTGAGACTAAAGATAAATGAGTGAGATAGATGATGGTTGAGTTCACGCAGGTTTCTTTATGCAAAATGTACATTATTTCTATAGGATCAAAGTTTAATATTACTTAAGAATTAAAATGAATAAAATTGTATTTATAAAAAATTGGTTAAAAATGTAGTTTCAAAAACTGAATTTAGGTTAATATGAAAATAAAGAAAGGTTTGTATGGCGAGAGAGGCTTAAAGTGAGTGATATACGAGTATACTGAGCTAAACGATCTAGATGAAGAAATGAATTAATTGTGAGACCAATCAATAGAATCGGATCAATGAGCTAGTGAGCTAAACGAGTTAGTGAGCTAAATGAGCTAGTGAGCTAAACGAGTTAGTGAGCTAAATGAGCTAGTGAGCTAGATGAGTGATATATATCTTTTGAGCGAAATGATATATATCAATCTTTTTAGCTCAGTGATACATATTGAGCATCACTATACTGTACAAATTTGATTTGACGTGTAGGTTACAGTGACGTTTACCAGAATTACCAGGCAGATACAAAGTGTGGCCTACTGCAATATCTGAAAGCCATTACTAGTTTTAATTTCGAATTGCATTCGTATGAATTGTAAGCAAGAATCTTACATATTATATCTATACATTTTCTCTGCATATATTATTTCTCATTTTACATATTATATATATTACATGTGCTTTATTGCTTTCTTTTATTTATTTGATTTGCCAACATTTGAATACATCATACAAAAAATATATCACAGGTTACAGAAAAAATAAACAACAATTCAATTACAAATTATTAATCAATTTGTTTAATTATGAATTTAACAGTTTGCACAAAATTTTAAAAGAGCAGAAGGAAGTGACGTGCAGTGCGATAAGTTCAACAAACAGACAATCATAGTTTTAGGGTAACCAGTACAAAAAAAAAAAAAAGGGTAACCAGCATAGAAACTCTACTCTAAATTGGTACAATTTAATAAAAGTTTGGAAAGTCAAAATGATTTACCAAATTTTGCTTGCATTCTGTAATTCCCATTCCTTCTAAAGAGGTAAAAGGTGAGACGTCTATTTTAAGGCTATTACGATTTGAGTTTGCATCCATGATTTAAATAATGCAAATTGAAAATATGACATTGGCCCAGTTATTTTATAGGTTTTTAATTCCTAAAAAGAATATTGGTCTCGATAATATTACCTTCTTACATCTGGTACAAGATCATTTTCATGCAAATGTAAGATATTTTAGCAAATAAATCATTTAACCCATTGCCACTTTTTCAAAGACATCACACAGACGCCACAATGTTTATTAAATCCTTTTATTCAGTAGTGGATTTGCAGTCTTGGCTACCCTAGGCCCCAGGCCATCAACTGCCCCTTTCGCAGCACCCATCATAATGAATTTACTTTATTGCCAAATTAAATATTTAGATAAATTGCACGCATTGATATTTGCAGAGCATTTTATTTAAATAAAATGTTGTTATAAGATTGTCCTTGGAAGTTTAAAATGTCAATTCCCAATCTAGTTGAAGTAACACATTACACGTGTTTTGGCTAACAACGAATTGAGCGCTAAGGACATTAATTACTCCCAATACAATTTGAACCCAATTTCTCATCTTCGGTTCTCTAAAAAAGACAAACCACGTACAAGAACTTTTACACATGCAACTATGCAGTTAAAAAAATTGAGAATATGCTAATTCTGTAAACGTGTAATGTAAAAAAATAACTTTTACTTACATTGTATTCTATTGTACATGTAATCAATCATCCACAGCCTTTAATTGTCCACTGCTGAACATAGGCCTCTCTTCAGGAAGGAGATTTAGGCCTATACATATAACGATATTTTTTAGAAAGCATAAGCGGTGTTTACCTATAAGTGGCTGTTGCATTGTTATTTCCAAATGGCATGTATTAGTTTAAGGAATTAATGTAAACAGTTGTTGGTGAACCTTTAATAAATAAATAAATAAATATTTTATGTATTGTACGTTAATATTTGGGTGCGGCTCACCATAATGAGTGCTATCCGTTTGATTATTTGGGTACTTTGAGTTTTTCGTCGGTGAATTTTTAGTCACTCTCAGCCGTCAGTAATATATCTGCCCGCCTTAGGCCTGGGCCTACTAGGCCTTAAGGGAAATTAACCACTGAATTTATTAGTGCATTATAGTATAAAACGTAAAACGTAGCTTCTTACTGAGGGTTATATATAACGTTTAATTGTACAAACCCTGGCACAGTTACGCAACCGCATTGTGGTAATATTTTTACATCACGATTGGCAGCACCGGAATGTTCAATCATGACGTCCTATGAATTTCCGGTTTATTCGATCTTCATTCGTTCCTTACAGGGATTCGCTTTCTGTTTGTTCACTCCATTTCATTCTTCAAGCAAACGCTCTGCTTGCCAGCCGTTACGTATTCTCGGACAGAACGTCTTGCTGGCCTTGGCTTGGAATTTTGCCAACTCACTGAATTATTTAGTGCTGAATATCCAAACAATTTAATGATTATTAATATTTTTGCAATAATATTGGAATTACTAGATGTAGGAATTATTAAACTCGATTACTATAAAAGTACAATTAATTTAACATTGTCACGACTGTGATTTACAGACAATTGTAATAATTAATACTGTTTAAAATAGTGTATTTTGTACTAATAATGAACTGCATAAACTAGAAAATAAGTGTTCTACGTGCATTTATAGAATGTTACACAACAATGACACGTCGCCATGTTGTATCTGAAGCTTAGGGGGCGTGGCACGTTGTGAAGTCGGGTGTCGTGTTGATTATTGAAGTACTGTAGATAATAATGGTAAGTTTTGCTCTACATAATACCTGTGTTCTATACATAACGTACCTATATTAAATAAATTGCAGCTAATTTTTAAATTCGTAGTTGGCTGCAGGTATGATCCCATTAACATTCGAGTTGTTAATTATTTATGTACAAATTTCACTGCTACTAAAATTTTTGTGGGTATGTAAGATAATAAATGGTAAGTATAAGAATATCACAAAAGAATCTATAAATAAATCATCATCATTTGCCCCTGCCTGTCACGTGATGATGACGTACTCATTACAAGGCAACCATTTTGAAGAACCGAAAATCATACGCAATAACTTGCACTTTGTACCCGGATCTAACTTTTATTAAAACCTGCAAAAAATATTGTAAGGTTCGGGCAAAATTAATTCATGATGAAAGTATGTAATTAAAGTTTTTTATACGCGACCACTACACAGAAGTAAAACTACGTGAACTTTCTACTGTCGCTTTCCTAGTACCAACTTCTTATTGTACCTACTCGTCACTGTTATTTAAAATCTATTAAACATTCATAGGTATATTTTAAGTAACTAATTAGAAATTAGTCCTTATTATACCCATGTACGATACTCAATTTTATTATTTTCTTTTCAATCCTCGAAGCTGTCGGTTTTCTAGTAACTCCTCACTGTTTTTTGAAAATTAAGTAAACCTTGATTTTAGTATAGGTAAGTAACTTTAAGTTTTTCAACGAATGATACTATGCTCCTTACACGTAAGAAATATGCATTTCGATTGTTCGCATTTACTGTCGTATAGACGCCATTTTGTTATAGGCCTGCATGCCTGATACTGCGGGGCCTTTTATAGGAATAATAGTTCATTGTTAGACTTTCTACGATGTACGATGTTGGACAAGCATATAAACGATTGTATGCCATGGTAAAAAAAAATGGTTCCTCTGGTATATAAATACGGGTCGTCGAGTAACCCCTATTCATAAAAAAAAAACAATAAGAATAAGAAAAACCTTCTTTAGATAAATCACCTATGTACTTAAAATTAATAACAGTGCCTACTTGGTCAATCATCTATTACAAATTAATAGTGGTATCTATTTCTTAAATGTGTTAAAACATCTAACCTTGAATGAGAGACCATTTAGAGAAACACTTAATATTTTTTAGAATATAATACTCAATGGACTATTCTAGTAACAATCAAAACGAGTACCTACACAATCGTAGTAAATACCTAGGTAATCAATCTGAAACATAATGATTATCACTGTGCTTATGTAAATGTAAAATTGGTAAATGTACATAAATCGTATCCGCCATTAACACAAGACAAAGCTATCAATCATCATACAATTAGGAACGAAGTTTCTGACGAGACAAGAGCTAAATAATAGTATAATAACAATAACAAGAACATTGTAGGAAATAGTACTTTCTAATATACTTTTAACGTTCAACAGTCACTATCGCAAATTACCATAATCGAATTTTAATGTCATGTTCAATGCTTTTAATTACTGTAACTGTATTCCAAGGCAATTGGAAAAGAATTACGACTTAAGGAACTACTGAAGGCGCGCGCCTGGGTGCGTTAGCAGCTATATCGATTTTTATAACCATCGTCCAGACTTGTAATTCAATTCGACAAGAAAACTAGTCGATAGACAACACGTGATAGACACGTTTAAATATTCTACGACTAATTCAATATTTAGTTTGTATATAATGTTAGTATTTTTTGACTTGCGTAGGCCTTCTTTTTTATTATATAAAGAGCTAACTAGCAGCGTGTTACGTGATTTTAACTGTCTCCTAAAACTCGAAAAGACAAGTAACGTTGCCGTCTTTCGAAGCTATAAGATCCTATAAGAAAACCGGTTGGAATCACTTCGGCCCAGCCTGCCCATTTGGGCCGAAGCATGGCTACCCCACATCTCATGTATGAATGAAAACAGATATTCTCACTAAATCAGACTGTCATTTTTTGCCTGATGAAGTCGCCCTGAATGTCTTCATATATTATCCTTAGGCATATCCCTGTACGAAACCGATTTTTACTTTACTTCGCCTTTATATAGGTACCTATGATACAAATTTTTTTCGACATGTCCTACGGTAATAATGTGCAAGTACATGGAACTTTAAGAGAAAGCAATAAAATTGAATTAAAACAAGATAGGTATAATTTGGATCAGACGGCCGTGCATGAGTATACGTGTTTGACAATATGCTCAATTTTACATTTTGCGAAAATTTACATCCTCTCTGCATTTTGACTTTGACCAAATGCGTATTTGACTTCTAACGAATGGAGTAAAGAAACATACGAAGCTCATAGTGGTAATCCGACTTTCTGCTAATGGCAGACATGTGTAGACCACGCGCTTTTGTTTAAAATCAGGTTCCAACATGAAACATTTGGTAAAAAAATCCATTCTAAATTGTATATATTGTGAACTTCTATCAAATTATTCTATTTTATAATTGCGCAACGGATTTAAACACTTGCGAAGGATGGTTTTGCAAAAAGTATAAATTCGATTTTGGAAAGCTTTAGCCAAGGGATTCCCAAACTATTTTAGGCAAGAGACTCCTTTCTAAAATGAACTGACACATCAGAACCCCATAGCCAAATTACTGAACACTTCTCAACTTGAGTTTTTTAAAAGTATAACAATGATACTTCCTACTAAAATATTTGTCATTCTTGTACCAACTTAACACAAGTAATACAGTATCTTCAAAGTTCCAAAAGACAACTTGTGTTAATTAATAGGGGTCGATTTTTAGACCTCGTCAACCCCCAAAATCAGTTTTCTTTTATGTCTACCCCTGGGAAACCCATATCAACCCCTTTGGAAATACCTGCTTTAGCCGATGCGCCGATTCCCAGATTTCTAATCGTCCTTGTCTTATTTATTTATTCGTATCTAAAATTGATAATCTGCTTACTAGCTATTAGATCTATTGTTGTAGATGTCTTTCCTGAGGCATTGTAACATAAAAATATGAAGAGGAACAATTCCAAATGAGCCTCTATAAAGAGAAAACATTTTGCTAACATTCCTGAACTTAGAAATTCTGTTTTCAAAGTTAGATCTAATAGAATCGTCTTGTTTAACTTTTACATGTTTTTTGAAATAATACATAACTGGGATTTGTTATATTAGTTACTCTGCTAGGTTGCGAATGTTTGCTTGCTACAAGATGTATGGAGATTCTTGGAGTTCTTGATTAGGCACCAATGAACAAGAGGGATTTGATGGGGGACTGAATGTTAAAAAAAATATGTCACCCCTTAAGAGCTGGATTTCAGCAGTCATGAATGTACAGAACAGAGGGAAATAACTAATCACTAAGCTACTTCACTCGGATTAAAGTTATTTTTCTAACCCTTGCAATAAGTTTTTTTTCGCCTTGAAAGAGACCCCCCCAGTCTGTTTCTGTATCATTGACAATATGTCATGATAACCGGTTGAGTGGTTAAGGTTTGAAATCACACATAACAAATACCTACTCACATTTTATTATTATTAACTAGGATACCTGCACCCACGGGCTTCATTTGATGAAGCCTTAATCAACGTTATATTTTATCTCTAGCTGCGCCCCACGGTGTGTGTTACCTACAGATATTGTACCTAGCTCACCTCACAGGAACACTACACCTTTATCAGAATTTGTTCAGCCGTTTAAGCATGTATAAGTAACAAACACACACTAACAAACTTTCGTCTTTATAATATTAGTGTGATTAGAATGATAAAACTTTCTGTTGCAGCTTTACAATATCTAATATACCAACATCTAAGATTATACTTTATACTGAGAGCAAACAACCTCACTCCCGAACTCCCGAGAACTTATAAACAAAAAATAAGTATACTGCTCACCAAAGTTAAAAATATACAAGTACTGAGTGTTTACTGTGGCTAATTTAGTAATTTTATTAAAATCTTTATAATTTTTTTTTGTTTGTTGCAGCCGCGCATTGATCCTATTCAACTGCTCAACTGTCTAAGCGTGCTCTTGTCACCTAAAGGCGGTATCAAGAGCAGAGACGAAGTGCAGAGACTAGCTATGTAAGTTAATATTACTTGGTTAAATTAAACATTTTAAATAATCAGTTGAGTTAACAATGAGCATTTTTAATTACATGCAATTTCACTAATTTGGTGTATATAATTGGTTACACTTCAATTCAATTTATTTGCAATTACATATTTACAGTTTTTCTTTCCTTTCAGACTTATGACTAAGTACTCGAAGAAATTGGTATCTAAATGTATATACATTCAGATATTGAAATGTACAGAAACGGATTTACTAGGTTTATTTATGGGTTCTGAGGGATGGCTTTTGGTACATATGTGGTTAACTGAAAGTATAGTGGCGAAAAACTGGCCACTTGTGAAAGAGTTGTTAGAATTACTATTATTGTGTCCAGTTGACATAGAACGTTTGAAAACAAACAACTGTCCAAAATTAGTTAAAGAATTATCAAAAGATGAGGATCATTTTGGTGAGTCTATACTTATTATTTGTAAAATTATTTTATTTTTGTGACTGCATGGCATTTATCAGGTGGTACACATAATATGAATATAAGTCGGCATCAGTATACATCATATACAATTAATTCTTGTGACTTAATTTAAAAAAAATCTCTGATGAAACAAATATTAGGAGTAAATGAGATAAAATTACACAATGCATTATGTATTATAAATGTGATGTTTTGAAAAATGTATTATTGCTGTTGTGTTGTGTATCTTCTGCACACAGGAATTATTTGAATTCAGTATAAAATAATTATATTGTAAAACTATTAACTTGTCTTATAAGCTCCCGTGGTGCAAACTTGGTGGTCTTTTAGAATTATTTTTCACATCACACATCAACAGCCTTCCATACATAATAGTCCACTCTCAAATGTACATTTTGTTGTTAAGTCCAAATCTTATTGAACTTGCTTTGTCTTTACTGAAAATGAGTCTTAATGTACTATTAATTCTTTTTTCATATTTTTTTTATTTCATACATTAAAAACTTGCAGCTAAAAGACCATTTGCGTATTTTTACGATTAGTTTCCGACTGACAGAAGTCATTGTAAGAAAAAAGGTTAGGAAGATAAGGAAAAAAAAATGTAAATTATTTTTTATAAGTTATATTATTTTATTTACAAGCTACATTTTCAAGTTTTCAATGATAATGTTTTGTAGTTTGTTAACCATCAGTTTGTAATTTCTCTCATAACTATTTAACTATGTCCCTATAACTATTAAAAAACTATTGATGTATAAAGAATATAATGTACGATTTAGCAAAGAAATAAATGATGAATTCCAAAGACAAAACCAGCTTAAATGAGTAATGCCACAATACTATTAACATAGAAAATTTCTATCTTTTCAGCTATCAGGGCCTTAGCATCAAAATTAGTCGAACAATGGTTGAAGACTGTCAAAGGTGAACAAGTCATTCCTATTCAGCTTTGTGACTTACCGCAAATAATAAAAGATGCTCAACCTGATTCTATTGCTTTAATCAAAACCGAATGTAATATCGAACACAAGGGTGATAGTGATACTATTTCGAATAAAGCAATTAATGACGAAAACGTCAAAATTGAAAATACTGATATTAAAGCAGAAAAACAAGTAAATGATGTTAAGGTAAAAGAAGAAATAGATGGGGAACCTGAAACCTTGCCTGTCTTGAAAATCAGTTTAAAGGATGGAAAGCAGATGGTCTCCCAAGTAGATGATGATAATGATAGTAAAGCCTCTGAAACTCTGTCAGATTCGGAAAAAAGTAAAGAAAAATCAAAGAGTAAGAGCAAAGATAAAACTGAAGAAAAAAATAGTAGTAGCTCAAGATCAAGAGGTTCATCAAAACATTCTAGTAGGTCGCATTCTTCCAGTGACAAACGTAAAAGCAGTTCTAGTCGGCGTAGTAATAGTAGTAGTAGTAGCAAAGAGAAATCGAAAGATAAGGATAAAGATAAGCATTCATCATCTCATAGTTCTAAGTCAAAAAGTGATAGTAGAAGGTCGAGTGATAAGTCATCCAATAGCAAAACTAAAAATGAAAGTAGTTCTAAATCTTCTGATAAAAATAAAAGCAAAGATAAAATAAAGGAGGAAAAAAATGAAAAGGATAATTTAAATAAATCTTCTGAAAAGGTAGAGGATAAAATACCCTCTGTACATAAATTAGGAAAAATCCCTAAACTGAGTGACTCGAAAAAGGAGAAGCCTTCCATATCCATAGAAGTTAGGAAACCGGATGAGCCAAAACCTAAAACAGTGAAAACCTTTAACTCAAAGTTCAGGAAACATGGTCTAGAAGAAGAAGTTAAACCGCCACCTTCCAGAGCTGCTGTTTTAACTAAAAAAGCATCAACTTCTGTATTGCCGCCAATTGTATCAATACCAAAAAGACCATCACCAGTTCATAGTGATCCTCCTCCAGAGAAGAAGATAAAAATCGTAGAACCCATTGAAAAACCCGGTGCAATTAAATTGATTCCTCCTAAACCCAAACGTAAGTATTTTTCTATGTATTCAATATTAAATCCTTTACTAATTATTTCTTTTTTTCCAGATATACATTGGTGGTGGCAAGTTCTTCCATTAATGTCACCTAGTGTATACAATAGTTTAGGTTGCTATATCTTCAGTGGTAAGTCTAAAATGCATAACTTAACGGGTTCTAAAGTGTTTTTACCACCTGTAAAGTATTTTTTTCAAATAAATATTGAATTCAATATGAATCTTTCCGTTAACCTGACTCTGTTCAAAGACGTTATCGTGAGGTGAATTACCAGCGCGCCTTTACTGGACTTGCCGGTGGACAAGCTGCAGAGCTGTTGACATCAACTGGTGCCTCGAAATGCGGATCTTCGCCAACCTATGAATGGATACCCATTTCATGGTGTGCGGGAGAGAAGTAATCAGACTTCTACAGAAAGAAATTAATAAACTAAGTCTACGTCAAAAATAACAATTTTAGGATATTAGCCAAGCGTTCTGTTAAATATTATTTTTGCAAATTAATTAAATAGGTACAATATTTCTAAGATATTGACAAATTGCATGAAGGAATTAAAATAGGCTTCCAAAAGGAACATTAGATAAACAGACCAGATTTATTGAGGTTATCTAGAAGGAGAAAATAAGATATTTAGGAAAATTACCTGTATGTAATGGAGTAGGTTATTGTGAGCAGCTAAATGATAGTGATACTTAAATAATTCAAGTGGGAATTGCTCGGGCGCTGGCTCTAAAGTTTAACTAAATCAACCAGATGAATGTGTTGGACGTAAATATTTCCAATTATTTAGATTGACGAAATAGTGGTACTACTACATAATCAAAGTATTCGTTTCTACCTACTACACCTCAAAACTACTATATCTAGCACTACTAAAAACTGTTTTAGGTAATGTGGTAATGCACTACACCTAGTCTTGGAATTTGTAAAAGTATTTTGGTTGGCTTGTTATTTATTTAGATAATTTACAAAAATACCGTCAAATTGATTAGGCTAACAAACCAGCTATAATAACATTATACAGCAGGTTTGAGTAAGTGGAAACACTGAGCAACCAACATTCTTTCTGTCGATACTACCTGTGGAGTACTCTGCAGTAAAACTAAGTGATAAACCAACCAAGTGGTGACCTAACTGAAAAGTATAGGTATTATACTACGTATTTGTGTAGATGCAAAGGTACCTACATTAAATTTGTCATCTGTACATGCATGCAGGTGCCTATTGATATTTTTCAAATGTACATATTGGGCCATAGCCAGCCAGCCATGAGCCATAGTATAAAGTAACACGTAGGTACCTACCAGATATAAAATACCTACAAATCTAGACGAAACCTGTCTGAGTAGGTAGGTAGGTACCTACCCTATCTACGTAGACGAAAGATATTAAAGAATCTCATTTAATGTTTTGCGCGCGAACCCGTTACTGGTTTGACTTCTAAAAGTATTAAGTCTAAAACTTTCTAAAGGATTTGATGTCATATTCATGACAATAGATAGGTACCGTATAGTCGATTAGGTGCAATTATGTTAGAAGAATAATATGGATGTTGGTTAATTCACTTCAGTAAATGGACCAATTTATGGGTTATCTCGAAACAGTTCCAAGATAAACTACTGTCCATGCATAGATCCTGTATCTGACACGTACCTACCCCATATGCCTTCATGAAATGAATAAAAACTGCAGGTGAAATAAGAAACTGCGGCAAATACGTGACATTAATTTTTATCAACAAAATACATAGGGATTGCATACGATTGTATGTACGCAGTTTCTTTTTCTTTAGAAGTCATTAACCTACCAGTACCTATCGAGATATTTTTCAAATTTCGCTATATCAGTAGAGAAATAACAAACTGGCGATCCCCTTTGTTCTATAATATTAAAAAGGGTACTCCTTATAAAAAGGTTCATATTCTGAAACTTCCCGAATTTGATGTGCCAACCCTAAAATCAGTGCATGCATTTTTGAAGCAAGCTTAGTAAATGGATCTTAATTTTTGCTAAGTTTGCTTTTCATGCATGTATAGGTAGTTTTTATCGTATGTAAATAGTATGCATGTTAATGGATTCTGTACCGAATCCGTTGATACATTTGACAAAGTTAAGTTGAGCGCTATAAAAAAATGTTCGTTTTATTACGTTAGAGTCATGAGTGCAATACAACCGTATAATTAAACCTTGCATAAATCTGGTCTGCGCTACTAATGGATTCAACGGAATGCCATTTAAAAACAATAAGTTGCATTTAGGATGCATTACCTATTTGCAACTTTAAATTTTACTTACAGAAACTGAGGTATGCCACCGAATTTATTTCAGTCTACCTCTCACAGGTGACTAAATATCAAATTAAAGATGTTATCTTGATCACCTTATAGATTGGAATTACGTGTTGAAAAAAAAATCAAGTCTTGAAAAAAATTGATAAATTGGACCTGAAAAAAAAACAATTTTCCACATGCATAGTGATTAAATAGATACCCTGCTCATATTTTTTGTAAATCTAAACTACACACACATAGGTAATAGTGTTACCTATTTCATGGGCGTTTAGTAAAATCGATAAACGGTTTATGTCATAGTAGAGACCTACGTATTAAAAATTAAATTATCGCGCTTTAATTTACGTTATGTACCTGTTTAGTTGTACCTACTAATTTAACTTAATTTGAATAAAATACAATTCCTATAGGATATACTTCCACAATTCTTTTTTAGGTAACATATAACAATATTTGTATATGGACAAAAATATATAAAACATCTAGCGCTACGTTCAGTAAGTACCGAGTAGTGCTGATGGAAAAACATGTTTATTTTCTAAACTTTTTTGTTACTTGAAAATGAAATAAAAGAATCATATTTTGGCAAATAAAGGTCCCCTTTAATATAGAAATGGAGATAATTAAAGTAAATAATAATTTAGATAAGTTGCCTCCAAATTTTATTTATGTAACGACGAGAGAAGTAATAATTATGTAAATTGGTCGCACGTTCGATTCTCGTTTATAAGTAGCATGAAAATCCTAGCCTTAGCGTTTTTATACCATGCATGTCATTAGCGCTTTATTACATATTAATTTTTAAAAATCGTGGATAACTTAGTTTAATTTAGATTCATGAATTTCATTATATGATGCCATAACTTAGAACTTATTAACGCTAGAATCTGCTGGCACCGCTTGTTGTCTTTCTCGTTCCAAGTATTTGTCTAACAATCGTTTCATTATTACAACAATTTAGGTATACTTGTGAGTTTTACAATAAGAAAAAAAAAACCGAAAAGTTTAACATTTTTGTAATGAGTGTTTAGTGATAATGGCATCAAACCGCTTTTAAATTATAACATGCGGTTAGTATTAAAAATATACTTATCAGTTTAGACGGATGCCGCTGCTAGTGAACGTAATAATTTCAGCTCGCTTTGAATTTGCCCATATTTTTATTATTATCAAGTTATTTTAGAACAAAATAACATATTTTTAAGTAGATAATAACGTTCACAGCATGCATGTGACTTTTGTATTAACTTGTCAAGTCATGATCATAGTATTTACAAATGTTAATGTAAAAATTAAATCAATTAGTATTTCAAAGTAGGCCTACATTCGTAGAGGAAGAAATCGGCTCTACTTAAGTTTTAAACTATTCTACGTCTTCACAGGAAGGTGCTGCGGAATACAACTTATATCTTATGTTTATTCTAGTGCACCTATTACCTACTGCGAAGTATTGTGATGTTATATTTTTGGAAAGAGTTACCCACATACTTAAACAGCTCACAATACGCGATTGTATTTATTTTCATTTATTGTAAAGTAATATTATAAACTTTCCAAACATACAACTGACATCACTATACCCAGAACAAATCAAATATAAACCACAAATATGATTAATCTTACACGACAGTTGGCGATGGTCGCAGTTTAGTACCTACCAACCTTACTGCGTTATCCGTGCATATAAAAACTATTGAAAATTTAGCGGCCAGACAGGCAGGCTAGAAAATATAGGACGTAACATAGGTTTATTTAGTTCTATAGTTCAAGGTAAACTAATTTTACCTTACCTTTGTACATTGGAGGTCCTTCCAACTTATAAGAAGACATTAAACTGTAGACTAAATAAAATGCACGAAGGTAAATTAACTTTCACTTCTTCAATCCCCTATAGTACATTGTGTCAGAGGACACAATGGGCTGCGTCATTATTTATTTCATATTTTTTGTGCTATCAAGGTGTCTAAGCCTATGTTCAGACTCCTTTCCCATACTTGTTATCCCAATAGCATCATCTATTTTGTAGCTTGTTAAAAGGCTTTGTTTTAAATTGCCTTTTATCACACAATATTTGAATAAGACATGTATATACAATACAATAAACAAATATGGATATTTAACTAAATTTTGAATATTTGTAAACATATTTCGTATACATGTGGTATAAACATTTTTTGTTTGTCTGCAAATTACGTACCTTATAATACCTAGTGGTACTACACAATTTCAGATATAATCATGTATACCTAAATCACCAGGTAATAAATCATAATAAGTCTTTTATTTTTCTAACTTAAGTGAAAACTATTTAAAAAATGTACCTAATCAAAATTAACGTTACGATATTGTATGCACATCATACACTATGTTTCTTCTTAAAGCTGTTGGAGCGATAAGACAGTGTTAGTTATTACAAGTGTAGTAATGATTGATCGGAGACTCGTTGTCGGCACCCTGGCAACTGGCAATCATGATTTTATAGCGTATCCGCGGTTTCGCTCGCCTTTATGTAGATTTTGTTAATCAATTTAGATATCCCGCGGTAACAGTACTTTTCGGTTGTTTTGGAGTGAATGGTATCCTGTTTTTATCAATTTATGTATTACTGTACTTCTGACGTGTGTACAAAATTTAATGATAATAATCCATTAAGTACTTAGAGCGGAAAGCGCAACGAACAAACACAAACTCACGTTCGTATTTATGATATTAGTAGATTTCATTTATGGTACCTAATAAGTTTGACTTGGGTATCATTGGTGATCCACGCAACTTCGTGTGTCACTTAAAAGCAATCAATTTTCATTGATTCGCGGTTCCTATTGGTCGTAGCGTGATGTTATAAAACCTATAGACTTCGTCGATAAATGGAACAACTTCAATTTATATATATTAATAATAGTATAGATTTGTTCAATCAGTTTAGAATAGGATTTATTACAAGTATAACATTTAAAACGTATTTTAACATAAGTAATGGCCCTGTGCAACCGTCAACAACACATTTTGACAGAGTGCAGTGTATATTAGATTATTATTGATTAATTGATGTTTTATAAGTAACCCGTAACTTAGATTCTACTGCTTGTTTGCGAACTCATAAATCGGAATATATTGTTTACCGTGGTGCTAGTGTTATTGAAATTGGCAAATTAACGTAGGTGCCTACCGATTATCACTAAACGTCAAATAATAGAAGTAGGTACATACCTATTGTTTGAGTTATACCAAAAAATAAATCCCTTAGCCTAAGAAGATATATCTTCAATAATTTCTTTATACAGCTTTGCATGAATCATAAGGGATTCAGATTGAACGGCGAACTAAGTCTTTTTTATTGTGACCCGTTTATTTATATCTATAGATATAAAATTACTTGTCTTGACTGATTCATTTAGCTCGGAGCATAAACTGCTGTTGCTACAAACTTGAAACTTTGGCAGGTGAAGATTTTTATGAATTAAACACCACTAAGGGATTTTTGGTAATTTCAACCCTAATACGGTAATATAAGGGATGCACGGTTGTATATGAAGTTGATCTTTTTAAAAGTTAGAAATAATGATGCGAGCGGGTAAAAGCTAGCCTGAAGTAACACTGTCCATATGGATAGTTTAGGATGTGAATGAGTTTAGTTCTATTTTATCCACGGATTTTATCATTTCGCATATACAAAGTCAATAATCTATTGTGGTAGGCATAGTACAGTACCTAATACATAAAGTTGATATAGTTATTAACTATAGCTGCTACTGCTAAATAAAATATTTTAATGAACATTTAATGGTATCGGTCCACAACAGATTTTTCTTATTAAACATCTTTCACCTTTAATGAACCCATTATTATGCATTTTAGACTTTTGTGTTAGTAAGTTAGAATTAATTTGTATTAGCTGTAGTTAATATTATTCTATATTTTCTTTTTTTTTGTTTACAGCCATGTTGCTCTTGGAAAGTGACATGTTCATGGATGCCTTGAATGCGTCTGCTACTAACAAAAAAGATCCTAAAAAAAGAAAACGAAGAACCAGTGGGTCAAAAGACGGAAATTCTGCAAATGACGTGTCTCCACCACACACTCCTACTACAATGGTTAGTCCAAACAGTGAAAGTAAATCAGTACCGCCGAGATTCTACCAAGACACTCTTGAGGCTGATGAAAAACAAGAAAAACCTTCAGAGAAACCTGAAATAAATGAAAATGAGGATACAACGATTACTGACAAAGAGGAAGAAAAAATGGATACATCGGAACCTCACACTTTAACAATTAACGGACTTAAAGGTGTTTTATGTTACCACAAACGGAAAGGTCCGAAAAAGAGTATTAAATGGAAACCAGATTCTGAACTAGAAGAAATACAATACTTTGAACTTGACGAAACAGAAAGGGTAAATGTAACAAAGACCTTTACAGATATGAAGTATTTAGAAAGGATCCACGAAAGGGATGCTTTCCAAAAAGGTAGGAATCTTAGCAATGATGATGTTATGGAAGAGAAAACTAATTGGAGACCACTCATACCCGTTGACGGTGGTGGACAAATTCAAGTGGAACATGGGAAAAATAGTAAAGAAAAAGATATACAAGCGATGCGCCAAAAAGGGACTCTGCAGCCACTTTATTTCTCCAAAGCAATGATCCCTGACTCTGCTCTCGAACCTGACGCTGAGACTCATACTTATTCGGAACCTACGATAATACCACTGGAAGATGTCACTGGCAATCAAGATAACATTAGTGATTTTAGAAACATGCCCTGGCCTGAATCTAAAGGTAATGCGCCACCAGTATCAAACAATATAAATGTTCCTCCTATCTTCCCATCAAGCATGAACCAGTTTCCCAACAATTTTCCGAACCCACAGTTCCCAGGTGTGCCACCTGGATTTCAAGGGGGCAATATGGTGCCTGGTGAGTGGCAAAACGGAGTGCCACCACATATGATGCCAAATGGTATGCCTGGCCCTATTCCTCCTGGGGCAATGCCTCCAGGTAACATGCCGCCAGGATTGATGATGCCTCCCGAAAATTTGATGATATCTCCAGAGATGTTTGGCGGTCCGAATCCTATGTATCCTGTACCCCCTGAAGGTTTCAACATGCAGCAAAATATGTTCCCGATGGAATTCAACATGCCGGGTCCACAAGGACCGCCGGGTCCAGAAGGTTTTCCAGGCCCAGGGAACTTCCGAGGAGCAATGCGAGGACGTGGCGTCGGGGGCCACTGGCGTGGAAAGAACGCCAACAACTGGGACGGACCTCAACGAGGTAGAGGCGGCGGTCGTGGTAGTCGCAAGGCTGTATGCATATATTTTCAGCGGAAGGGATCGTGTCGACAAGGTGACAACTGCTCCTTTTTACATCCAGGAGTAAATTGTCCATTCTAAGAACTGTTGTTGTTAAGTTTAAGATAAAGAAGAAAATGTTCATAAACATAGTTATATTTATCTTTAAGTAATTGTTATAGAGTTAGAAACTCAAAAGACTGCTAAATGTAAATAATTTAATGGTTGTATATAAATGTAAATATGTAAAAAAGAAAACGTTTATATGAAATAGAAGTATAAATTTATAAAGGTTTTAATTTTTCGCTACCCTTATTATGTTTACAATTATTTTTTCAAATAGTTGTCGCACTAATCGCACAACAAACACATTAATCATTATAAGTACCTAGGTCTTTTTTCAATTATGATTTTTAATTACTTTGGCTGGTTGTCAAGAGTAGAATGTTCACTTAATGACCATATTAAGATGTCAAAAAAAACAGAAATTTTTGTAACAACACATATATTCTGAATAATAGGTTGTTTGCCATCTAATCTTCAAGCCAAATTACAACAGCAATCAGTGGGAATGGTCAGACATATCTTCATTAGACCATGACCTTGACCTAGATTTCCCGATGGTTGTTTGTAGTCCGTCGCTCTCGACAAATAAAGTTCCCGTGTTCTCCTTGAGAGGGATTACGTACCTACATACCTATTGTAGAAATCCTTATGAAAGAAAGCATAGCTCAATCTCATTTAGTTAATGGCCAGGTCAAAAAGCGCACAGGATGGCGAGATATGGCGGAGCTATAGAAATGTATTAGCGCGTAAACGCACTATTTTGATCAAGGACCAAGTTACACAATATGTGATGCGTGATTATGACATGTGTAGTAGTTAGTGTTTCTGACTGCTAAACCAGAGGTCGTGGGTTTGATTTCCACCCAGGACAAACAATTGTGTGATGAGCACAGTCATTTTTTCTGTATCTAAAGTTAAAATTTTCATAACAAAAATTCGTTCAAAGTAAGAATAATCTATACATAAATAAAAATATTTTTTTTACGACAATTGACCTTCTGGCTGTTATTTTGTCCATAATTCTAATGTAAGTATTCATTCAAAAATATCTACAACAACGTTTATCAAGTCTGTTTGGGATGAAACGTCTGTGTTGAGATTTGTTTTCATGTTAGTATTACATGGCATTTGAGCTATCGTTAGATTTGTCTTGAGAGTAGCACTGTTTGTATATAATATCATTGCATTTAATATATGTACACATAGCCGCTTAGCTACTCAGTGTTACTGTCGATCTCAGTTTTATAAACTAAACTTATCAGTTTAACCTGTGTATCTGTTTGTCTGTGACATCACAGCTCCTGAACGGATGGACCAATTTCGATGCGGATTTTTTGTTCGAAAGCCGAAACCATGGTTGGTGGTGGCCGATGGTTTTTAGCTGTATATTTTGAAGATAATCAGCTCACTTCCTAGGTGATGAAAGGATCTCACTAAAATCCACAAGTCCGATTGATCTGAAATTTGGTATACTGTTACTTTGTTGGTATTCCCACCACATGGTAACCTTGTGACTTGCTGCTGCATCAATTAGTCTGCGGGATAGCCAACTCCTCAGAAAATTACAGCATATACAGAGAGTTCTAAAAGCTATAAGAAAGCTTCCTAAAATATACTCTGCGGTTTATTTTTAGACGATTTACAAAATATGAACAACAAATATTCAGTGGTTTAGAAACAGGACATTTTTTGTATTTTCATAATTTACAACATCATGTGTAAATGCAGTCATAATACATTGACCTCAGGCGGCGATCAGCTGTCTACGCGGCGCGGTAGCATCACACGTTGTACGTTGCCGCTTTTACTACACTCGAATCGAACGAAATATATGTTGATTATTGCGTCATCAGTTTGAGAGACACGCGTTTTTAATTAGTTCATCCAGTAAGTAAAGTCAGTCGGCCGATGATTGAAACGGGAGCTTCTCGCATAGTTGTCAGTTCCCAACTTGCAAATTGGTTTCCGAGGGTCATCACATTTAACCGTGAGCGAATAGATCTCGTAACAGCCACTGGTCAGCGTATACTCGTCCGAGGCGAACAGAAGGTGGAGTTGAAGTTGGGCAACCAATTTTATCTGCATAACGTCATCGTGGCTGATACAGTTGATGACTGCATCCTTGGCCTAGACTTTATGAGGAAGAATCGATGTCAGATCGACATTAAGCAAGGTGTAATGAGATGTTGTCAAGAAGAACTGGATGGAGGGGGCCCTCCATGAACAGTTAGTCTTCCCCATAACTCTGGACAATTGCATCGGTGTGTACTTATTGAAAGGTTAGATAATGACCTTCCATGGAAAATCGCAAGAACTCTAGTAAGTGCTGCTAACATCTCTGCAGTACGTGTGTTAATTCTTAGTGACAGGCAACACCTGATTCATAAGGTAACACTGATCGGCACTTGCGAAGATGTGGATTGGATGCGTCGATGCCAAGACCTGACTACTACAAATATTAGCAATTATTCACGAATCAACGTGTCAACACTTTTGGAAGGCTGTCGACATGTTTTGTCTACGGAAGAAATAGACGAGCCTAAGAGGATGTTAGTTAAGTACGCCGATATTTTCTCTTCTAATGATTCAGGTCGATATCGGAAAGAGTGGTTTAGTTCAACACAAAATTAACATAGCAAATGATTTGCCTATTCGTCATCGACCAAGAAGGTTACCGGTAGCACGAGAAAAGGAGGTGGAATCCATGATTAATGGAATGCTGAGGGACGGCGTTATAGTCTTCATCCAGCCCATGGTGTTCACCTGTAGTGCTTGTAAAGAAAAAGGATTGCAACATGCGTTTTTGTGTTGATTACCGCTGTTTGAACGACACTACGAAGAAGGACAGCTACCCATTACAAAGAATAGATGACACACTGGACATGCTAACAGGGGTAAAGTGATTTAGCACCTTGGATTTGAAAAGTGGATACTGTCAGGTAGAAATTGATCCCAAGGACAAGAAGAAGACTGCGTTTTCGTCAGGGAAGGGACTGTGGCAGTTCAAAGTTATACCCTTTGAATTATGTAACGCGCTAGCAACTTTTGAAAGACTGATGGAGCAAGTGCTCACTGGATTAACTGGAGACGTCTGTCTGATCTATTTGGATGATATAATCATCGTGGGCCGTACGTTTCAAGAATATATTCGAACGTGGAACGCGTGTTATCGAAAATCCGAAGCGCCAACCTAAAGTTTAGTCCTAAGAAATGTTCATTTTTCAAAAGGCTAGTAAGCTTTCTAGGATATGTGGTTTCAGAAGAGAGGGTCCAAACAGATCAGCAAAAGATCGCCACAAAGTGATGGCGAAAATAAGTACTTAATTCATGGTTGCACTGGATTACTTTACCAAGTGGCCAGAAGTCTTCGCCATTCCCAACCAAGAGGCTTCAACAGTTGCAGATAAATTATCGCACGAAGTCTTCTGTCGTTTTGGAGTGCCTTTAGAAATTCACAGTGACCAAGGAAGAAATTTTGAGTCTCAAATATTTCAAGAGATGTGTTTAGTGATGGGTGCTCATAAAACCAGAACCACCTCTTACCACCCACAATCAGACGGAATGGTGAAACGATTTAACCAAACATTGGAGAGGTATCTGTATAACTGGCAAAGGTTGTGGCAAGTAGGCAAAGAGATTGGGATAAAAACATCCAACTCTTTCTTCTGTCATACCGAACTGCAGTCCTCGAAAGTACTTCACCATCTTTTACAAACTTCGGAAGAGAACTACGATTGCCCGCAGATTTGACCCCTGGAATACCCCTTTTTTTTCCGTGTGGAAATCCCCTCGGATACCACCTATCGGTGGCATGTCGTACACGAACCGACCACTACCGGTACTAATAGCCGGGGAACCAGGTATACCCTAGGAAGGAAATCCCTGGTGCCCTGGAATACCCCCTGACGCTCCGCACAATATAACGGAGTACGCAAATGACTTGCGCAACAAGATGAATGAAATCTATGAGCATGTCAGACAATCAGACCAACAGATGTCTGAGAAAAAGAAAACCCGTTATGACCTGAAAGTGAACAATAAAGGCTTCGCAGAAAGTTGGCAGGGAGATCTCCGAAGCTTCAAGCCAAATGGGATTCAACATACCGAGTGGTGACGAAAATCAATGATGTCACTTACCGGATACAGAAGTGTCCAAGAGGCGCCCCAAAGATAGTTCATGAGGATCGATTGGCGCGATATTATGGGTTAAAAGGTTCGATTATATGGAATGTGGAGGACAGCGCCATCTAGTATCGACTCAAGTACATCTATTAAGATTGTCGTTAATACGAGTAGTTCTGATCCTTACAGCGCTAGATGGCGCTGCAAGTTACTCGGGACTGATTCTGGAATATTAGTGTTGTCTGGAACGAACTATCTATCTTTCTCGTAAAATTCAAAAGCGCTATAAAAGAGGAGCATGTTGGCCGTTTGGGACAGTATCGTTTTACGACATAGCGAATTAACATCGGGGTGAATTTATGGTGCGACTAACGAGATATAGAGTGATTTCTAGTTTATTATTGTGAGTAAATACAGTGCAATAAAGTAATTAACCGACAACTTTTATTTATTATTTACCCCGCTCGTAGCAATATTATGTTGGCATGCGCATATTATAATTACTTATTGTATGTTTTGAAGTGATAACTTCTTATGGGAGGGTAAACCGCTTCGTTACGTAACGCGTTACGGTGCCAGTCTGTCGGCTTTCTTTTCTCTCATGCATACGGCAGCGGTAGGCAGGCCGGTGAGAGGGGCTCACCCACAGCGCTAGCTGTATTTCGGACAGACGCTTCCCCCTCTCTCTACTTAGTGTTCAGTGTGCTATAGACATATACTGTTGACAGTGAACATATAACCTAAAACAATCATGATGAAACACGCAGAAGATGATCCTCGGAATATTACAGAATCTCCTAAGGAAAGGTAAGTTTAATAATATATTATAATATAATACGATATAAACTTAACAAGTTAACTTAATGCAATACAAACTTAACAACCTAACCTTTCCTAATGTACAATCATATTAATATACATAAAATTAAGTAATAACCTAAGCTTTTCTCAAGTTAAACAATTTCAATATTAAATAGTTCAACTTAGAGTAGTTTAACTTATCACTTCTGTCGGGCGACGTCTTCCGAGACGCACACGTTTTTTTATTAATTTAGTTTATTTCTTTTATAATTTTTTTTTTATGGTGTAATCCTGAATAATGCGTCTAAAAACTGTTTAAAAATTACAGCCTGTATCTGTAACTGTTGCTTATTAATTATTTGCTATTTAATTTAACAATTTTATAAAAAATAATGATAAACCTAATTTTAAAGCAAAAACAAGGTCTATAAGTAAAATAAATATAATATTAAATAACTTATATACTAAGGCATGAATTATAAGCAACTACAACACAGAATAAAATGAGAATAACAATAACAATAAACAAAATACTTAAACCTACTAATCACCATCAGATGAGTCGTCATCATCGCTCTCCCATTCAGTAGAATATTCAGAGAGTAAATAATCCTCCTCATTTATTTCGTGATGATGACTTACTGATGGTAAGACAAAACTTTTCGAATTCTATATAATTTATATCATATCCCGAAGACAAAGTTCTTAAAATTACATGAAATTTACGAATAAGGTTTACGTCTAATCCTGTAATTTCGCTGCTCAATTCAGGCTTAGAAAAGAATCTACGTGCTGTGTTTCCAACGTTTGTGTTACCATACCCAGGTTTTAGTTTATCTACAATGAGACCCATACGATCTTTAAACAATTTTTGTATCTCTTGTGAGCGATGCTTCACAATAGCGTTGTCGTTATCTCCCCTGACTTGCCACTTTTTTATTTCTAAACGATAGCTGATGTGAAGCAAATATTCAAACGTGCGGATCCATGCATGTAAAGTAGATAAACCAAATGCAAGGTGTTCTTCGTTGCTGGGATATTTCTTTGACTCCTCGTTGATAATATGGCATGTATAGATATGGCGTGGCCCCGCAAATATAACACTTTTGGGTTGCACTTGTGTCTGTTAGGGCATTGCACACTTTGTCAACAACAAGTCATTGTCAACAACAAGTCGTGTTTAACAGAGATTTGAGATCCAGCAACGTTACATAATGTTGGAAGAAGCTGACTTACTTCATCTAAAATTTTAGAAGTTTCTTCTTTCGTAAACTCTTTTGTCTCCTTGGCAAAAATAAACTTAATAGGACGGCAATATAAAGTAGAGGAAGGTCTTGGATTTTGCCAGATCACAGTTTCGCCAACAAGCAGTCTCAAAGGGACAAATGAGTATATTTTATGAACAAAAATTCGTCTGTAACGTTAGTGTTCTCAAATTTCTGTTTATACGTGCTATGCCCCGAACTCCCATCACAGCCCCATTTGCTTATCAACGTATAATAAGAACGAGGTAACACACTTCTAATGACTTCCGTCTGAACTTTAACTAATCGTTCAGCCGTTTTATCCAAAATCGCCTGGAGTTTAATTTCAGCTCGAGATTCAGTCACAGATATTCGTCAGAACTACAACTTGGACTTAAGGACTTATCTAAACTATAAAACGATGGATACACTTGATGTCCCGCTTTCATTGACCACTTTCTTGTTTGTTTATCGATTTCGAGTCCACATAATAAGCTTAACCTTCGTCTGGTGTTAACTGCCGACTTTGTACAGAACACTTATTCTTTTCTCTAGTTTCACTGATAGTGACTTTATGGATCTGTTAAGCAACACCTCGATGCCCTTCTTTTCGAGTAGCTAACTCAGCTGCTGTAAAAAGTTCACTTGCACTTCGCGATTCCAATAGATCTTCTACTCTCCGTCTCTTCGTTTTCGTTGATAAGTCTTCAAAAGATTTTCTGGGTCACCCTCCGGAAAGAACCGCTGATGATGTTGAAATGCACGACTAGTTAACACACATCTTTATTTGGATTCCGGATTCCTCGAACCAATCTTTATGTTTGATTAGAAACATTTCTTTGTTACACTTTAAAGAAGTCCACTTTTGATTGAATTTTGCTGAAAGGCTTGATATTTTCATGTTGAGTCGTTTTAGAAAATCGTCAGAAACATCAAACATATTGAATTTTGCACTTATATAATAAAAAATGCCACTGTTTCGTTCACTTTTGTCATGCTTTAGTCATTCTTCAAAAAACTTCTTTTAAGTCATAGTCACGACTCGTTCTGAAAAAATAAAATAATTTTACTTTCGGGCCTTTTCGGGGTCTATATTATATATAAATCTGTGCCTGAATGTTGTAGGTATTACATAAAGAAAAATGTAGGTGGATATATGTGGATAAAAAAGTTGCCACTCTTTAAAGTTTACGATTAATGTAAAATTTGCTGAATTTATCTATACATTTACAAATTGATATTGCATCAAAAGTATATATATTTTTTATAAAAAATATAATTCATAATAGAGTACATACCTTCAACAGAATATTCCATCACAAAAAACTCATTTCATTTTGCTGCCAATTTTCACATATGTTATCACAAGTGTGCATAAAATGCAACTGGTTTGCAAATGAAAATGACCTCTCTTACAAGGGTTACTTTGACCCCCTGATAAGATACATTTATGAGGCGATAAACTAAGTAATTCTTGGAATTCGTTACCTGGGAGGGGGTTGTTTACAAGTAGTTATCAGTGGTTCCTGGAAATTACGTCATGAATATTGTCCCGCTAGCATGTTCTAGCCGAATCACTGTGCGTCCTGTAGGAGTTATATAAGGGCGGCAACGTAGGTACTTGTTGGTATCCATGGAATGAGGTAGTCACTTACCATCAAGTGACTCATCTGCTCGTTTGCCCTCTATATAAAATAATACTTAGGTACCTAAAATATGCTAATCCATTACATATAACGCTTCTAAAATATTATCATATCTTTCTGTTACACCTTCTACAGTCTTCATCTTGAGTTGAGATACATGCAGTGCGTGGATTTCACCGCTTGTTTGTGATATGTATACAGGGTTACAAGGAAAGTCGTGCTAGATCCGTTAAGGGCGTGGAGTACCCATCATTTCTGACATATTTCACTATGAAACACCCTACCCTAAACTTAACCCTTTTCGAGATACAGATCACACACATCACATCACACATCAACAGCCTTTAATAGTCCACTGCTGGACATAGGCCTCTCCTTAGAAAGAAGGTAATCTAATTTAGGTAAGTAATTTTCGAGATAATCGTCTTTTAATTTTTTTATTGAAATTTGCTGATTTTTAGGCTACTACATTTATTTTTGTTTATTTTGTGTATCTTATTATTATTATTTTTGCATTTTTACATGTGTAATAAGATGCTTTAGGACGTCAGTCATTAAAATAGTTCATAAGTTAATTGAATAGATTGTAGTAGACAAGTGAAAGTAAAGAAATAAAAAAAAATATTAGAAAATTATTTTTCTCTAACGGATATCTAAAAACAATATTATGGTAATTGTTCGGCAGATGTTTTTTAAAATATCTACTTTTCATCAGCTATCTAACGAGGTATAATAATCTAAGGTTTTATTCAAATGCATTGATTGAGATCTAGCACGACTTTTCTTGTAACCCTGTATATTTCACTTTCAATGTTTTATTTCACCTTTTCTGTTTCGAACGCTAGTTCATTCATGGTCCATAGATGTTTAAAAAAATTTGGTCATTTATTTAGCAAGCGTATAGCTTCACTCAATACGTTTACTAAATAATGTAACTGTATGGTAGTGTGGTGCGAGTTACTAAACTTTAAAAATTGTTAATATTAACACGCTATTAGAACACAGCAATTGTTTGACATTCAACTCGTTTAGTGTTAAAATGCACTTAAACAGCTAATTACATATGCGTGATGACGCAAACATATCTATATCTGTATTGTTTGTAAGTTTTGTTGACAATTTTTTTAGTTGTCAGCTGTCAGCTGTGAAGTTAATACAAGCTTGGCTGAAAAACCTTTTATTAAAAAACGTATTTTAGTCATTTTGTATTCTCTGTCGTAATAATGTCTAGCTAGTATTTTTGGAGCAGTATTTCGGTGTAGGTCGATTTAATTCTTTTTCTTGAAATTTTTTGTGTTAAATATTTTTAACAAGATGCAACGTTGGTTTTTTTTAGAAGATCGCAAGCGACCAAAATACCGAGTTCCTCAAAAAATAAAGGAACGGAAGGAAGAAGAAATGGCCGAATTACTCTTTCAACAATGGGTTTTTTCTGTTACTGCACCAGATATTGAACCCAGAGAAATAGTATTCATTACAGGCAATATTCATGAACTTGGTGAGTGGGAAGTCAAGAAGATAGTTTATCTTGAAAAAAGAGAAGGCACATTTTTGTGGTCAAAAACTGTACAAATCCCTAATACTCGTGATGTGCTCTATCGTTATGGTGTAGGAGTTATAAACAATGAAACCAATGAATTTATAATCCGCAAGTGGGAAACTAACATCAAACCAAGAATTATTAGAGAATCTGACTTACATCCAACAATTGATGAGTTTGGTAACTATGCTAAGCTATCATCTCTCACTAGAGGGTGGCTTACTACTCAAACATTGGTGCAGTTTAAATTTCTCAATAACCCTCTAAAACTTCGGAATCGTCTCTCTGGAAGGCCCATGCATATTAAAGTTACACCGGTGAAGTTATCCTTTGGGAATGAGTCTCAAGTAGATGATTCATCACTTAATGCAGATGTAAGTGACAATGATATACCTTATACATGCTTTGTTGAGGTTGCTACACTTGATAATGACCAATCTCTTTGTCTTCTGCAACCACAAGGGCAATTTGGAAGGGAATATAGACCAGATGATGTGATAATAGTGAATATGACTGTCTCAGACCATAAAGCTCTGGCTTATCTTGTGGATATATATTCTTTTAGTAACCATGCTTCAATTGAAAATACTCCATGCCATGTGGGGTATACATATGTGTTACCGAACATGTTTAAGCCCTCAGAGGGGATGATACAGTTACCTGTAACATGTAATGTTAAACATCGCCCCCTAGGTACTATAGATATAGAATATTTAATTATTTATCCTATGACAGAGGGCAATAACAATTTTGAAGTCTCCTATAGCAAGTTCTGGTCCAAAACCTGGACTGGCTTAGAAGTTGGACACCGTGGTTTAGGTGCAAGCTTTAAAACTAGGTAAGATCTTTATACATGTACATGATTAATGCTTGTCGCATTTGGTATTAATCACCTACCGTGAGTAGAATCCCTTTAATTCATGAAGTACCAGCCTATGATAAAATTAATTAAACTATATTCAATATTAATTATGCATAATTACTCTGCCAGAGAAAATCACATCATTGTGTGTTAATTGTTACCTAATCAGAGAATGATCTTTTCTGAATGCCCATATGAATTTCTATAGCTAATATCAACATTGTGAATGGTTTATTTAACATAAGATACCTTTATTTTTTTGTTGAATATTACTATATTGAATATCACCATCTCTGTGCACTTTGGTCAGAATTTTAATTCTATATAGTGTCAAAGCTTACTTTTAGTTCGGTGAGACACTGTTTGCTAACACCTACTTCTGGGCTTGAACTAGCAGGTACTACTATTGCATCTAACTTCATAATAAGTTAAGTATTAGTAAAGTAAGTATTATTATTCCATTTAATAACATTGACCATCATTTCCAGAGGTCACACTATACGTGAAAATACAATTGCTTCCCTCAAAAAGGCAGCATTAAGTGGTGCAGACCTACTTGAATTTGATGTGCAATTAAGCAAAGATATGGTACCAGTTATTTATCACGATTTTCATGTGTGTATATCATTGAAAAGAAAGAAGGAAATTGAACGCCTAGAAATGTTGGAACTGCCTGTGAAGGATTTGACATTGGAACAGCTACACAAATTAAAGGTATATTTATGGATCTAATTAATTCAGTTATTGTAGTTATGGAAAACAGATAATTATATACATATAATAATAATTGTTGTCACTACTTAAGCATGTCTCAATAATATACATAAGTATTGTACATTGAAAACCGTAAAACTTAGTTTAGTATTTAATATCTAAAATGCATGAATTGTGATTATCTTGAACAAAGAATTTTTAATGCATTCAATTGCAGGACACATATTTACCCATTGAACTGTTTTTATGATAAACTTTTAAAGTCAAAAGCAAATTAAAAGCATTTAACTATGTAAAAGTGAAGTTGTATTTGTATAAATGTAGGTAAGTAGGTACAAAGGTACATTGCAATAATATTAGTATTTTTTAGGTTTACCATTTAGTGGAAGGTCGCACTCATGAACCAATGGTTTTTGATGAAGATACTGATGAACATCAACCATTCCCTACTTTGCAACTTGCTTTAGAGACCATTCAAGAAGACGTAGGTTTTAATGTTGAGTTAAAGTGGACCATGGAGATGAAAGACGGCACCTTCGAACTCAATAATCCTTTTGATATGAATATTTACGTCGATAAGGTATAGTTCATTAAATATGGAATAAACACACGCTTGACATTAGCTTAGCACGTACAAATACCACTTGCAGCCTATTTATAATATACTAGAGGTCCTCCCCGGCTTAGCACGGGTGCAATGTAAATACTACTAATGTGGTGTCAGTGTGGAGTAATTAATTATACTATTTTTATGATAGGAATGCAATATTGACTGACGTACAGCTCTACGGTCGTTAGGCACCCACATTTTATACCTCTAATATCTTCTAAAAGATTCATTTTAATGGTATTCTGTAAAGAGCAATTTAATAGTACATTTACAATTCCGTAGTACATTATTTTAGTCTATCTCGTAAGGTTTAGCTAGCGTTTGCAATGTAAGCGCACAAAAACAATCTTAGAATTTCTCGGCTTTTCTCTACTATTTAATGCATGTATTATAGATATAAACCTTCCTCTTGAATCACTCTCTATTGGTCAAAACCGCATTAAAATCCTTTGCTTAATTTAGAAGATCTAAGCGTATAACACAAAAAAGCGACTTTATTTAATACTATGTAAAGACGAGCCTACATTTTTATGGTATTAGAGACAAGCGAGTAGACCCGTCACCTGACGGTAAGTGACTACCGCCACTCATGGGCACCTACATTTTAAATAGACACAACTACATTGCCACCCTTTAAGTCCCTCTCTCCAGAAATTACGTTTATATCCATAAATTAAGGGAGTAGAAGTCAACGAAGTGACATTCTGTGACAAGGGGCAAAAGAGGGTGAAAATTATTTCCGGTACTCCAAAAAAAAAATCAAAAAGTAACATATCAATATATTCCAAAAAGTAAGTATCTTTTCCAATGAGATTTTTAAGAAATCAAAAGATTAAATAACAGATATCTACTTAAAAAGGGGTAAATCAGTCATCTTTCTGTATCTGGTTATTTTATCCGATATACGACATATAAAGAGCAATACTTTATAGATAAAAACCTATGTCTAAAATATATGAATGTTACGTTTACGACATGAAGTTCCCCAAGGCAGCGTTCTGCGCCCATTCTTATACCTTATATTCACGCATGACTTTCCAGTAATCGATAACGTGATTGTGCGCACATTTTGCAGACGACAGAGCAATCATAGCCACACATGAAAATCATAAATGTGCTGTCGCTATAGTGCAAAAAACTCTTAGTGATGGTGTGATGTGATGATCTCAATGGCTGCGCACCCAGTGGCGCATCAGGGCTAACGAGGCAAATCTGTTCATGTGATCTTTACTCTTAGGCGCGGTGCATGCCCACCTGTCGAATCAAAAGGCATTCAAATAACTCAACACGACGAAGTGCGTCACACCCTGGTATACCTTGACAAAGACTAACATGGAAAAAACATATCTTAACCTCATTTTGGTAAAGATATGATTTTTAAGCACTCGGCCAACACCCCAAGAAGATGAATTGGCTGATGTCTCGCAAGTCCACACTTTCACTAGAACATAAACTCCTTTTATACAAATGTACACTGAAGCTCATCTGGTAATACGGAGTGCAGCTGTGGGGAACTGCAGCCGACTCAAACCTGGAAATCCTACAACGTTTTCAGTCAAAGACGCTGCGCATGATAATGAATGTACCATGGCATGTTACCAATATCAAACTGTGGAGTTGGACATAACGCGAACCAAACGCCTTGAAAAGCACCTAAACACACTTGCATGTAATCTGATGCATAAGACGACCAACAAATTTCAACGAATTAAACAAAAAGCCTCCCAAGACCTCGTATGACTTCTTGGCGAAAGAAAATGGACTGCCCACTCGACTAGTTTCATTTAGGACTAATTGAAAGTTTGTAACTTTTATCTAAATGCCTTAGAACAGGCAGATACTTCAAAAAAACGTTACGATAACAATGAATAAAACTTTCATTCAAAACAACTCAAAATTCAAAGGAAAGAGCATGCATACAATAACAACTCCTTGCACTTAAATAAACACATTAATCACGTTGTTTTTTTGTTTTTATAGAGCTAGCTAGAAATGCTAGCACTTACAAAGATCATTTACGAGTATAATTGTGGCTTATTGTTGTAAACTCCACAAAGAAAAACCTGACAATTGGATAGTACGCATCTCACAATGTTTTTCGTTATTTGTAGGTATTGGAAGTTGTGTTACAACACGCTGGCGACCGTCGCATCGTATTTTCGTGTTTCAATCCAGATATTTGTACTATGGTCAGAAACAAACAAAATAAATATCCTATCATGTTTTTGACTGTTGTAAGTATAGCATCTTGTTTATTTATTTGTCTGAATTAGGATGGTTTCCTATTACAGTCAGTCATTTCGCTACATGTTATTATTTCTAATTTTAGGGTGTTTCAGAACGATATGAGCCCTATCGTGATCCTCGATGCTTATCCATACCAGCTGCTGTGCAGTGCGCAGTGAGTGCTGATATATTAGGAATAGTTGTGCACACTGAAGATTTGCTCAGGGACCCCACTCAGGTACTGTAATAATGATTATAATATTTACAATGCTTAATGATAAATAATGTTTATTTAATTTACTTATTTATCATTATGCACATTTGGTGCATTGGCTGACTTAATGCGTAAGACATTCACTACCAGTAACCCATTTGGTAATATTTATTTTGCCAAAACAGGAAGTAGTTGCATTTTGGTTAGAATGCGATTTAAAATATACAGAAAATAACAATACATATTATACATAGGACATTGATAATCTCATATAAATACACATATACAATCTGTGATAAAGCTTATCACAAAAAATGAAATAACAGATAACACAGTTCAATATACGTCGGTTAAAATTTAAAAAAAATGTGCGAACTTTACGTATCGTAATCGAAAAATGTATAAAACAGGTAAAAAATAGCAAATACTACAGTAAAAACAATTAAAAGTACAGTCATTTTCGTGTACAATACCGGTATTTCAGGGTGCTTTTAAAGTAATATTAGCAGTACGACGTGTTTGAAATATGAAAACAAGTTTTGAAAAAAAAAACTTATCATTTTCTAAAATATGATAAAATTTAACGACTACTACGAGGGCTGCTATTTATGTATTCGGAACTGACCAGTTACAAAACAATATCAAAAAAGTAATTACAACATTTGAAAATGCAACTTTTTGGCTGAAGAATACAATTTATTTCATGTAGCTGTCATTTGTTCATCCTTTGTGGCGTAATTTTGAAAATAGCGTGTCTTTATCACTATGGACTAGCTGACCCGCGCAACTTCGTCTGCGTCTCTCAATAGTAATAATTTTTCTCCGTTTTTGAAACATTCTTCATTGGTGCTCCGCTCCTATTGGTCTTAGCGTGATGATATATAGCCTATAGCCTTCCTCGATAAATGGGCTATCTAACACTGAAAGAATTTTTCAAATCGGACCAGTAGTTCCTGAGATTAGCGCGTTCAAACAAACAAACACTTCAGCTTTATAATATTAGTATAGATTTAACTCGTGAAAATTTTCGTCCTATGATTTATTACGATTTTCGGCGAGGGTTAACTCAAAAACAATGCATCTATCAACTCAGACTTTTGGGGATGAAGCACCATCAGAAACAACTGTGCATCACTGATTTAGTAAGCTTAATCGAGGGCGGTCTGTGCTCACGGACGAATTTAAAGGTCGCTCTAAATCGGTTGTTGTACCTCAAAATATTGATGCTGTGCGGGAACTAATAATGCAAGATCGTCATGTTACATATCGCGAGATAGAGGCGTCTCTGGCGATAAGTATGACGAGTATACATAAAATATTACACGAACAATTAGCTGTAAAAAAAAATTTGTTCACGTTGGATTCCGCACAATTTGAGAATTGACATAAAACGGGCTCGTGTCGATTGGTGTAAAAAAACCGGTCAGGTACGAGTCGAACTCGTGCGCCAAGGGTTCCGTACCTACCCAGAAGATTTCAGCGAAGTTTTTTTAAGTACCAAAATTAATCTCTTTTTTTTTATTTTTTAGAATTATTCCTTTATTTGTGCTGTAAGACGTTTCTTTTTGCCAAATTTCGTGATTCTAGGTCAACTTGAACTAACATATAGGTTTTCGAGCCAAAACCTATAGGATACTTCCGGTTGACCTAGAATTGACAATTTTGGTTAAAAGCAAGGTCTTAGTAAGGAGGTCTCAAGTAAAGAGATTATTCTGAGAAATAAAAAAGTTAAAAATTAAGGTAAATTTTGGTAATAACAAGTTTTCGCGAAAATCAAAATTTGCCTATATCTTTTTATCGTGTTGTCTCAGGACCTTGATTTTAATACACCTAATAGGGACCATAGACCTCAGTATCCGGTATAAATTTCAACTTGCTAGGTCTACCCGTTCCTGAGAAAATCGGTTGTGACACATGGACAAACGGACAAGAAAGTGATCTTATAAGGGTTCCTTTTTTAGCTTTTGAGGTACGGAACCCTAAAAATGTTACAAAAGTACAATCAGGGTGCGTCAAAGCTATCTATAATATTTACACAGGTGAGGAATCTTGGATATATGCGTATGATCCTGAAACTAAACAACAATCAACGGTTCCAAGATGAGCCGAACCCAACAAAAGTCATTCGTTCAAAAAGCACTTTGAAGGAAATGTTCGTGTGTTTTTTGGTATCAATAGACATGTGGCTACAGTGCCACTAGAGGATCGTAAAACGTTTAATTCTGAATGGTAAACGACCATGTGTTTGCCAGAAGTCTTTTAAGAAATAAGAAAGAATAACCGACAACGTTTCTACGTTGTCGGTTATCATCACAATGCTAGCTGCCACACATCGTCCGAAACAACTCAGTATTTAGAAGATCGAATTAAGGGTTCATCCGCAGTACAGCCCTAACGTGGCCCCCAACGACTTCTATTTACTTCCCAACTGTGAAGAATAAATTACGTGGTCAACGTTTTTTGAGCTGTTGATGCGTTAAAAATGCACGTTTTGGAGATACCGCAATCAGAATGGAAAAAGTGGTACGAAAATTGGTTCCAACGTATGCAAAAGTGCATCGATCATCACGGCGAATATTTTGAAAAGCAATAAAACTATAATAAGTGCTAAATGTTTCACTTTGTTATTCCGGATACATAAATAGCAGCTCTCGTACGACTAGTTAGCCAAAATGGTAAATCTTGTAATGATCTGGACATTCCGAAAAATACTCTATTAATTATTTACTTGGTCCATAACATACATACGTCAACTACGAGTAAAATCAAACAAAACAAAATTATGAAACAAAACTGTTATGATCTAAGCTTCTACGTTGCGTAGGTATTCTATTTGAGAAATAACTACATAGTAATTATATTGGAACTAAGAGAGCACACAATGAAAGCACGAAAATATTTTTGTTATCTGAGCATATAGATAGAGATAATTGGTAAGTATCTTGATATCATCTATCGCATGTATCGCCACGGAGTTAGTTAGTATCTTGTTGCTAAGCTTGTTGATCGTTGCGATGATAGAAATTGTAATAATAAGTGTCTTATTATTACGATGTCTATGGTTGCCATGGATGTTTTCATTACCGTATAATTAATTCAACGACGCAATATAATTGTTGTCAATTCTATATTTACTGTCTATTCTATTGTTAAACGGACAGTAAAAATGGAGTACGTATGTACAAACCCAGAAAAGGGTGCGTTTAACTTTAAAAAACATGTTTTCGTTTTATTTATATCGAAAGTAGGCAGTATTCATATTTAAATACTAAATGTCAAATGCGCAGTAAGTTACGTTTATTTAATAGTTAATATTATATTACATTTTATTTCCGATACAATATTAGTAGTTAAATATCTTATAACGTCTTCATTATTCTGAAATCAATTTCACATTTTACTAAAATGTTCATTAATATTAATCTAATACATCAGATATTGTTTACCAATTCCCATTAATGTTACAGTTCTTTATTTCTTTATTGACGTACGTAATGGCATGCAAGTATAACTGTTTGTGAATTTTTAGTATTAATATAATTTTAACAAATATATTTAATAAACATTTTGTCATTAATGAGGGACGATCCTAGGGCCATATACATTACTCGAATAACACTTATTTTTGACAAAAATATTAATAAAATAATTACGTAATGCATTGCGTATTGTACTTAGTACCTAGGTACATTTCAACATATCGATGTGTACCTACAGTGACATTTAAATTCCTTGTTAGTAGCTGTCAAGTCGGCTTCATTTTTAATAGACGTGGAATAGTCAAATTTCAATGCGTGAAGTACCTTTTTTTTTTCCGTGCGGAAATCCCCTCGGATACCACCTGTCGGTGGCATGTCGGACTCGAACCGACTAAAACCGCACGCCTTCGCCGGGTACTAATAGCCGGGGAACCAGGTATACCCTAGAAAGGAAGTCCCTGGTGCCCCGACATACCTCGGGTCATCTACAGACGAGTAGACGATCCTCCATAACGGGTCTTACCGCCGCAATGACGGCGTGCCCGGCGCTCGGTTGCCCGAGTCGTTCCCTCCACTCCCCTATGATGACCTGGCGGAGTTGGGATTTCCGGTCATCGATTTCTCGAATCTCGGGGCATCGACCCAACTCCTGCGCCTCCTTGCGCCACTGATACAGAGCCGCAAGGGCTCTCGCCTCCAGGTCCCACGGTGAAGTTCCGGCCAGGAGACTCGCCGCCTCAAAGGAGATCGTGCGGTACCCCCTTATGATCCTGATGGCCAGCATTCGCTGCGGTCGTCGCAGTATCGCGACGTTGCTGGCCTTCAGGGCCCCCGCCCATACTGGGCACCCGTAAAGGGCCATGGACCGCACAACCCCCGAGTAGAGTCTCCGGCAGGAGTCATCGGGTCCCTTCATGTTGGGCAGCAGCCGCGCCAACGCACGCGCTGCCCCAACCAACTTGGGGACCAGACCTCGGAAATGATATCCGAAGTCCCATCGGCCATCGAGTACGAGCCCCAGATACCTGATCGAGGGCTCGATGCCGATGCGAGTGCCTCCTACCGTGAGGCTAGATCCCTCAGGCGGCTTCCTCCGAAGCCCGTGGAAGAACAGGGCCTCGGACTTGTGCAGAGCCACCTCGAGACCCAGCCGCCGGATACGCTCAACGACTTGGGCAACCCCGGCCGTGGCCCTCAGGGTTGCCTCGTGGTGCGTCTTGCCGCGCGCCGTCACGAGTGTGTCGTCCGCGTAGCACACGACGGCGACACCATCCAAGAAGGCACCACGAAGCACCCAGTCGTAGCCGATGTTCCACAAGAGTGGCCCTAACACCGACCCCTGCGGAACACCGCACGACATTTCACGCCTACCGAGACCGGTCCTACTGGGGTAGACGACGGCTCTCTCCGACAAATATGCCCCGACTATGCGGCGGAGGTAGAGAGGCACTTCGTGATACACGAGCGCCTCCCTGATGCAGCTCCAGGGCATAGTGTTGAACGCGTTGGCGATGTCCAAGGACACCGCCAACACGACTTCGCCCCGGGAGACGCTTCCTCCGCCAGAGCCTTCACGCGCATGATTGCATCCACGGTGGAGCGCCTCTGACGGAAACCGTACTGGTTGTCCGCCAGATCCGGCCCAACCATCACGAGATGCTTGACGAGGCGCCTTGCAATCACTCTTTCAAAGAGCTTGCACACCTCGTCAAGCAACACTATGGGCCGGTAGGCGGACGGTGAGTCCGCCGGGCGCCCCTCCTTTCGGATGAGGACCAGTTTCCCCGTCCTCCACAATTTCGGAAACTGGCCCCGCTCGAGGCATGCGCTGAAGAACTCTCGCAGTCGGGGCTCGAGAGCCTCGTCGACTAAGGCCAGGACCCACGCTCGGCCAGGAATGCCATCGGGTCCCGGGGCGGTGTTTTTGGCTTTAAGCCGTAACACCGCCTTAGTTCCACCCCAGTGACCTTAGGCACGTCGTCGTCATCCACGTTAGGCGCCTCAAGCGCCGGAGGCGGAGCCATCTGTGGCGGAGTATGCTCCACCACTCGCGTTGGGAACAGGGAGCCAACGACCCTCTCAAGCAGCTCTGGCTGAAGACACCGTGTGAGCGGCGGGGCCCATGGGCGCATCTTGCCCCTAACCATACGGTAGGGGCGTCCCCACGGATCCCGCTCCTGTGTCTCCAGCATCTCGCGGCGGGCCTCGCTCTTGGCCCGCTTTATCGCTGCCTGAAGGGTCCTCTTGGCAACCCTGTAACCCGCTAACAGCTCCGCCTCTCTCGCTGCCGCATCTTCGGGGCGGCGACGCCTCCTGCGGAACCTGGACCACTGGCGGCGCGCGGTCACGCAGGCTTGACGCAGCCGTGCGATCTCCGGCGACCACCAGTAGACCTGGCGCCTCGCAGTATTGGGCTGAGCCCTAGGCATCGCCGCATCGCGTGAAGTACCTAGAAACTTATATTTCCTGTTATCAAACTATTTGTTTTATTTACAAAAAAAAATTAGACGTAGCTGCTCTTCTATCTGATATATGTCATTCTAATTAATTCTTTTAAATAATTTATGATCTGTAGCGCACTAGCACAATCAACAATGTTATCAATGCGCAAAGTAAAAAGATAAATGTAAAACATCGACAACGTTGGTCAATGGCCTTGAATTGTATCTGTTTTTACATCTGCACGCGTGATTACTAATCTCGACGTCATATTATGTTTTGCTACGACCAAAGCTGGCAAAACAAAATCAAATACGTCACATGCTACATTGTTAACTTAAATAGTTAAGGGATGCAGTTTCTCGTGCTTTTGAGTATACTCGTACTATATATTGTCCTCAAGATATGTCAGATCGTCTTGACTCCCTGACTTTGCATAGTGATATAGCTGATATGGTAGATGTGACTATGGTAGAAGTGACTCGTATCCCTTTAATAATTAGAAAAATATGGTCTTTAAACAGCTAAATATTTTTATTGTTATTGCTCAACCACTTTCTACCAACTTTTGTTACGAACGATGAAGTTTATACATATAAATGTTATCCTTGTCTTGTAAATATACATATGTATATCTTGTTGTACTCTCAAATAGATTCCTACTTGTCTCTTTGTATATAAATATTGTTATCTTTGAAGCCGAACATCGTTAAAATAACCAGTTCATCTTACTTTACTTTTTGTACACACTGAATGACGCCTAAGATTGTTTACCTCTTTCAATGTACTAGAAAGTTTAATGACACCGGCGTGTGTGGCCTACTTATGAGTAGTTGAACTTTTAATTAACAGGTACAATTGGCAACAAACGCTGGTCTAGTCATATTTTGTTGGGGTGACGATAACAACGACAAAGATACCATTAAGAAGCTGAAGTCGTTGGGTCTGCACGCTGTGATATACGATAGGCTGGATCAGTACACTACGAAAGAAGTTAAGGTTAGTGAGACATTATCATTCCTATTGTTGATAAGAAAATCTTAATTATTCTTATATTGCGTACTATATGTGTATTGAATGTTTGTGCTGATACTAGTGCTTGGTAGTGCATGAATGTACACACACATTCTTTTGTTTGATATTAGTACAATTCTAGCGCGCATATTACAAACACTTAAAGCGCGATACGCACGTGTATGCGATTATGTACATATACAATGTGTAATCGTACACACGTGCACGTCGCGTACGTAATAGAATTTATTAGGGCATCACAAAAAAATAAGATAGGTTAAATACCTCCTTATCAACACAGATTGTAAATGTTTTATGCGCGAGTTACATTAGATTTTTATTTGTTAAAAAATGGTAAAAGTCTAGACATTCGGTAGCTCAATGTCACCTGTCCAAGTTCAGTAACTTTTTCGCTCGAGATTAATGCACGATAGAGCTTGATAAGTTCTCCTAGATTTAGATATCTCTACGCCTGCATTTGTATACTTGCACTCTATTTACACTAGACATGGAAATGACGCTACAAACAAGACCTGCTTAGCGTGACTCTTGATTGAATTATTTATTACATGTAAATTCGTATATATATCTATTATATTTTTGACGATGCATTCGTAATCGATCGTTACAACGTACGCACTGTAGTCTATCGACATTCAGAAATTAAACTTTTCAGCATAAACACACAAGTAGTTGTATATTTATGCTGAAAAGTATAGAAAGTATTATTACCTAAATATAAATATATATATAACCCAAGCCACACCCAAAGGATATGACGTATCTGTTGTTATGCTGTCGGTAGAGCGACGAGGTTGGGGGGTCGTGCGATAAGGATATTGCAATTTACTACTGTCGTTATTAGGCAAATGATAGCAGTCACGATATTAGGTCACGAGACAGTGTTCTACATCATATCTCGTGAATTTTAGGTAAAAAGATAATTATAATGTGTGGAATACCATTATAAATGAAATGAGTAAAGTCTTGAAGTATTTTTGAAGTACATTTTTTTACGAAATAGTAAACGAATCGTTTGCTGGACTTCTGGAGTTTGAAAAGCGCTGCCTTAGTGGCGACTGAAGTCCATTAGGCCTCGAGTTCGATTCCCGGACCGGACAAAATTTTATAGGGTTTTCTGGGAGGAAAAATACCATAAGTTACTTCTTACATAGACAGCTACCTGGTAGTAAAATATTAGCAAAATCGGTCCAGCTGTTTTGAAGATTGACCCGGAGCAAACAGACAGAGGTACACCGTGTCGGCATGAAAAAAAACCTATTATTTTGACATTAAAACAGACACTTCAATTTTATTCATGTGTATAGATAGAACGATGCATATATTAAACGCCACCTGTGAGTGGGATGTGTGCTTGGTAGTTGGAATGTGTTTATAACATGGTTTTCGTGAAATTTAAATGATACTGCACTTAATAATTATTGGTACTATTGGAATCGATAAAAGTGGGTTGAATTAGTCTGATGGGTACTTATTTAATGAAGCATCAAGGGTAAGGGCTTCTGTTTTTGGTGTTTGTTTGTCTTTAAGCGAATAAACACTTATTTGTCCAAATAGTTTTTTTAAGGTGCAAGACGTCACGTTTGGAAATGTTTTACGGAACCGCCGACGTATCCCGGAAATCAACCTACCGGGTTAATAATACCTATCTGTTAATGACGAAACCACACTTTGTATTCAAATGAAATGCGCTTACGCGCCGTAGTAGACAGTCTGCATTATTATCTATCGGAGAATATCACTAAATTTAGATTTTGCCTTTCATGTGATTTTTATTTGTTTATTAAAATTTTAAATTAAGATATGCGACGTGAAGGCGCGATTCGTGCTGTGAAGTCGGCCTCCAACACGGACCGGGCCCGGGCCCCTTTTATTAATTTTGATTCAACAATTGTTAAAATTTTTAAATTCATAAACATATGAATACCTACGTACTAAATTAACGTGTTTGTAGTGTTTAGCTATTCAAACGAACATACAAACCATAAGGAGGGCAAATTGTTGCAGTCTTTATATGCCATAGCATGTTTACTAGGTTTGCTTTGTCTTTGCTATCGTACTTCACGACCTTCACTCGTTGTAGAAAGTTACTAGAATGTGAAGGTCGCACATTCAAGCAACTTATTTATATTTTAGTGTTTATTTTTTCGTAACTACTAACAGCTGAAACGAATTTTAAAGAATGGTATGTCGTTAGATTCTGTTTTTCTTTCGAACCTATCAAGTGTAATATCAAATTTAGTTTCAATCAATTATTTACTACTAGGTTTGACATAGTTCAAATCGACTTATTCTTCTCTCTCATCTTATCCTAAATGTAATATTTAGTACATTGTAAGACATGATCAGAGGCATGTAGGCTTAGAGCTATGTATGCATAATGACACGGAATCGTATTCAATAGGTCCCTCCCTGTTACAAGAATGCATTCTTCTTTATCAAGTAAGTATCGAGTATCTAAGTTACATTATAACTTACATTTTTAAAACTTTGATAATGAAAGTTCTCTTTACCAACGTTTTTAGTTTCAAATGTTGTGTATTGACGAAATTGCGCACCATGAAAAGTGATTTTTGTTAAACAATAAAATTAATTGCTATTCGAAATTAATTCTAAACTTTCGAATTAACAATTGAGCAATAGGTCTCCAAATTGCTTTTGAAAAAACGGTCCGGGTTCATTTTGTTAACAATACTAATTAATACCTATTTAATACCAAAATATTAATGATGAAAAACAATTTTTTTCACTCGCTTTTATTATCTTTTTGTTTTTCGCTTTTTACAACTGCCGCATGTTTTCGGTAGGAAAAAAATCCAACTCTTTAAAATACTTAATACCTACGTAAAATCATCAACTGAACAACTTTTTATTTAACCTTTTTCGCTACAATGCTTTATTTTCGAGATATTGCGAGATAACTAAAAAAAACGGTTTCCAAAGTAACCTATTATGCAATAAAAACGTATCTTCTCGACCTCTGCCATTCTAACTTTTTAATGGGTCATGATGTGGGCAATGACCTTCAGTATTCCCCAGATTGTATTAAATTCCATCAAGAATCGAAAAAACATGGTTTTTAAACCCGTGACATCTCAGAAATTGTAATTCTTAGGAAAAATGTAAAGGCAATTTATGTAGGAAACTAATAGTATGATCTATATTGTGGACTTATTTTATCTATACTAATATTATAAAGAAAGATTTTTTGTTTGTTTGTATCGAATGGGCTCCAAAACTACTGGACCGATTTTAACCATTTTTTCACTAATAGAAAGCTACATTATCAGGAAGTAACAAAGGCTATAATATATTTCTAAAAAACTTAGACTTGTGCAATATGCTATGTTTGCTTCCCTATAGAGTGGGCGTTGCCGAGGTCCAACTAAAACTTGTATTAAATAAAACTTACCGTTTGGCATAAAATGTCAAAAGTGCGAGATATTTGCAAACCTCTAATAACACTTTTGCAAATGTGAAGTCCGTTGGGACTGTTCACTTGTTTCGTTTCTTTTATAATACCGTTCCCAACATTCGTTAAAATTCTCAGCTCTGCGAATTATTCTTACTATGAATGTTTCTAATAATTTACGAAAGTCATGTAAATCACTAAATTGTTTAATGGAGTGTGTTTCACAACCTTAACTTCATTAATGTATGTCTTTGATGATATTCAGGAGAGTATATTCCTGGTGGAGGCAAGAGAATCGCAGCGGGAACTTATGAAGATGGCTGCATGTGGAACTTTTCCTCCTACAACTGATAGCACTTCAGAGCCGGCTATCTCTATACATACACATGATCCAACAACAGCATTCGTCGACCTGGAATATCTTCGCAGAAAAATTGGTAATACCTCCACAGCAACGTCGTTGGAGTCGCTCGCCTCTTCTATGGATCTAAGAGATGAGTTTGAACAACTTCAAAAAGAAAGGGAATTGATTGTAGCTATCGGTAAAGAGTCCCAGTTAAAAGAACAAGTGAATATATTTAAAGATTCATTTCCAGCATGTTCCAGTAAAAGACCACGTAATCAGTGATGTATTCTTATTGATAGTGAAATTGCCTTTTGAATGTATTATCTATCTTACTAGAAGCATGTTTAATTTGCTCAATTTTTTTTCGGTTTATAGTTATAAATATCGTTAAATCGTATTTTTTTATCATAGTGAGACAAGGATCTTTTGACGATGGTCTGCTCGTCTGCCCCCTCTAATATAAAAAAAAACCTATGACAAGTTTCACATTTCGTGTGATATTTGCCGTCTTCATTGTAACTGGAAAAAATAGTGTTAATATGATATAGCACCTAAGGACGTCATATTTATTAGTGGGTCAAACGGCAAAAGATCCTTAGACTATAGCAAAACATTGTATGTATAGTCTGACTACAGAGGGTAGACTAAGAAGAACCACTTGTGAATAAGTATTCTACTAAAAATACCAACAAAATGCATAAATAACTTTTTAGTATTACTTATTTGTATTAATATAATTAGAACAATAATAATATTAGTAGTACATAGTCAGTAATATTTATGCATTAATGAATTTTAAATAAACGACGTCGTCCGATCCTGATTAAGTCTGGATGGGTTCTAGTTAGCACGGTTATTTGAACTTATACTTTTAATGAAAATAGAAAATGATCAAAAAGTAAAGTCATGAAGAAACACTAAATGTATTAGTGTCAGATTATAAGTGTTCCTAGTTAAATTTCAATACTTTTCAGACGGAGTTGTTCTTGTTATCTTCTACCCTCCTACAGCATGAGCAAGAGCACAAAATAGCTTATCATTTGATGATAATATTTTCACTTTCTTTAAGAGAGCATTTATAAGACACTACAATTGTGTAAAGGCTAAGAAACAGGTTCTAAAGCTGGCTTTTCATTTTGGTTGTCAGACTATATACACTACTAACAGTTTGTGATATATGTGATAATATTGTACACTATTTATTGTTTTTAATTTTTTTAACTAGTTAATTATGTAAAGGTGACTTGACACATGGTTTATACATTTAATGTATTTTTAGTATTGCAGTCAATTCATTTTTTTATTTAGGTAAAGACTTAATTTTATTTAGATACATTTTAAATAAAAAACAGTTTATTTTAGTACTTTTTTATTTAAAAGGATAAATGGTTTTACACATTTCTGCAGTTCACATTCAGCGACTGACACCGACGTAGGAGATCCTCTTCACCGGCTTCACCCCTTGATTAAGGTCCCTCGTCGGTGCCGAAACTAGTCAAGCATCCCAGAAATACACATGAAAAAAAGTCGTTTATCCTTTATAAATATAAACACCACTTACAAATGTTTTTATTTCCATCACTTATCTTGCTCAAGTATCTGCTTATTATTACATACTTGGGCAATATTTCATTATATTTTAAATAAGCACGCTCTCCCTGAAGCTAAGCTTGCGGACCGCCATCCCATCGTCTTTCTATTTGTATTTCTGTTATCCATGATGATAGTAGGGGAGCCCATGCTGCTAGATGGGGCTTTACTCGAGCGTCGTAGGCACCTACTGCATTTGAAAGATTAGGTAATAGAATGAATACAAGTTATAAAATGTTTCCACTTTATGCGGTGGGAAAAGGTTCTACAGGTTTTCAAAAATGTAAGGGGAGGAAATAAAAAAAAAAATCGGACGCATCAGATATTTTGGGGATATGTTATTTGGACTCCAAAAATGCTCTCATTGTAAGGTCTGACGATTTTGACGTGACGACACAGCTCGTAGCGAATTATCGAAAAGGCAAACTGCAAATTCGAAAATTCGCCATTTCTAAATACCCGAGCGAGTTAGATTTTATAGACTGTTCATCTTGATGTTCTTTTCATACTAGCTAAAAATGTGACGACAATTTTGTAGGGTATTTTAAATCTGACGGTTAGAAATATTTTGATTTTTTATAAAATGTGACAAAAAAGGCACGAAAAATCACATTTAAAGAAGATCTCTTGCATTGTTTGCTTCAAAATAAAACTAAAAAATGTGCTTTTTTTGGAACTTTGTGACCCTCCCACTGCTTTAAGTCACGCTCAAATCTTCTGATTTACACATGTGTATGTAATTGACTCAACTTACCTTAATCTTACACGCTCTAGTATTTCTGACTTTCGTTTTTTTTTACCTAGTCTGATAGGCTGCTCTAGACGATCCTCTCTATATTTAGTAAGGTGTAAGGTATTCCTCTATGTTAATCTGCCACGCTTGAGTAAATCCCGAAATCCCTTCTAGGTCCCTCCTACTGTAATATTAAACTCGTTATAATGTTACATTGGTAGGGTCAGAGACGTTTATAAAAATTGACGCTTAATTTCACGAATGTAATTAGTTTCTACTTGACATTTACTGTGATATTATGTTACCTACTTCATTTAAAAAAACCAATAGGACAAATATACTTTAAAACATACAGTTTGCAACAAAAGAAGCTTAAAATTCTAAACAATCAAGAACCATAACTCTAAAACCTTTTCTATGCTAAATGTATGCAATGCTAAAGAAAGTAGAAATTGAATGATTTAAATTGTTAGATGCTTCTTATACTTACATATGTTTAACAACTTTGTTGCTTACTGTATGTGTTTATTTTAAATATCTTCTAGGCAAAACTAATTTAGGTTAAATGTACCTACACACATGCTCATGTACATATTTTTGAATAAATTGTCTGTGATCATAATCATGAAACTTTTATTTAACATCACTAACTTCTTCTTTGGAAGCGTTGCTAATCACTTTGGTAACTGATGTCGAATATATTCTCTGTGTTTAAAGAAAATAATTTAATCATCAGGCAAGTTCTAGTTCATAATTAGGCTACGCTTTATTTAAACATCGAATTATCCATAATCCATCTGTGTTACTAATTATTTAGAGATTTTCTATGATATAAGAGGCAAACGAGCAGACGGGTCACCCGATGAAGACCATGGTGAATACTGCCGCTCGTGAACGCCAGCACCTCGGGGGTCACAAGCGAGCGAGTTTGACGCTCTTTTCTTGAGAGTTTTGAAGATCGTATCGGGTCGGAAATCACACACACACAGATCACTTGTGCGCGGCAAGAATTTTTTTAAAAAGCGCACAGTGTTGAAATGCTAATTATATTATCCAAGTGATGGGGTTGCATGTTTTGCGTCGTGGAACGATGGCGGTAAGCTAGACCGGTATGATTCGGAACTTTTGACTAACGCGTTGGTAAAGAAGTTTTATAATGGAATTGCATGACCGTTTCAACAGGCGAACTAAGGTCTTTATGCTTCTAGGTTTATTAGTAATAGGATATTAGATCATTACTTCCTACCCACATAATTTGTTTACTGAAAATCCCATACACAATAGATATTTTTTAATACCCAGGCAATTTTTTTGATGATATCGGTTCAACATTTATTGCGAAAGGGGGTTTTATTAAGGGTTATCATTAAGGCGGAGGTTTTATTATAAACGTTCTTACAATAGTTTTATAATGAGCTACCAGTGCACTAGCTATGTCTCAAGTCAGTCAAGGGATGTGTTCCCATTCACACAACAGTTAGCTTTAGTTAGCATCCAACTTATCAGGGTGGTCTCACCACTGGCCCCAATCGAGGCTGAATATGCATGTTCAGAGGTCTTTTAAATTCGCCCACACACTGAAAAAGTTCAACGTTTGAATTGATAATAAAGTCTTAACTATTATCAGTGACACAGTCAATTTACACCATATTAATATTGTTGTTAGTCAACTATTTTAATTCCACTAATACACGCAGCCCGAATAATGCCTTCTTTATTTCATTACACTTTACCCAGTGTGATGTACTTAGTAGACCTAAGATAGACCTATTTCTTATCGTTTCATCGCACGATAGATGGGGCAACACATGCGACTTCGACAATGCCTGGGAACTGCGACCCAGGAGTAGGATTAGGGAGTCCTCCTTACGGCGCGTCAGCGTACACCTCCACTGTCTGCTGTGTTACCTCCTCTACCTAACCATATTTGATACGAAGGCTCGTATCAAATATGGTTAGGTACCACGCTCGGTATTACACTCGAAGCAATGCCGCTTTGGACATTCGTTCAAGAAAAGAGCTTACTGAAGCTCTAGGCAATCCAAGATCTTTAAGTACATAGGTTATTGTCCGTGTGGTGACAGATTAAGAATACGGAGTGTCACCACCTCTATTCATCCCGTGGGTGTCGTAAGAGCCGGCTAAGAGAGTAAACTACGCAGGACAGGATTACTGCAATGAGAAGGAAAACTTGAAACAAACCCTATACTAACCCAACTGTGCAGAGTGGTACAGACCAAAACCTATTTTCTAAGGAGAGGCCTATGTCCAGTAATTGACAAGTAAAGGCTGTTGATGATAGTAATTTCTGAAGTATGTTATAGAGGGATTAAGCTGGTATACCCTTCGTATCCAAATGAAATCATTAATAAAATGAATAATTTTTAGTTATACCGTTAGTTAAGTCAGAGTACATGTTTCTTTTTAAAGCGTGGTCTTTAGGGTTGTTCGTTTCCCATGGTACCATGAGTTATACTAGTACTACACGCTTAATTGATCTTGACGTCAATAATGACCCCGGTCTCATAGCGCCTTACAACCTGTCAGTACCTAAGCGCCTGGCTTTACCTATTACCGCACTGCACATCGTATAAGATTTTTCTGTAGCTTTTCGCCTTACTAGGTTTTAATTTTATAAGGTAAATTTTAATAAGGCAGGTGACCAATCTTATAAAAGTATGCGCCACTTCGTAGCTGGTGGGATACAAAATTCACTTGCCTCCGCCCTAGGGCGACTTTTGCCCAATTTGGGCGGGGCCAGTGTTCCCACGAGGCGGCTGTACGCGGGGGTTGTCAGGTCCATGGCGCTGTATGGTGCACCGGTGTGGATGGCGGCTCTGACCGCCCCGAATAGGGCGCGCGCCTCTGGCGCCCCCAGAGGATATTGGCGGTCAGAGCCATAAGCGGATACCGCACGGTGTCCACCGAGGCGGCTTGCGCCTTGGCCGGAACACCCCCG